ACTTAACTGAGTTTCAGCTGTCCTCTGCAACACCACCTAGATGGAGTTTCAGCCGAATTCGAGATCCTTCACTCTTATAATAACTAGTTTGTTGTTTTTAACAAAAACCGTGTGGATTTTTCTCCGCAGTCATCAAAATAAATAGAGTTTTCTGTTGATGATGCTGTTTGTTATTAGTACATTGGGTGGAAGTAACTTGACCCAATCTTCACAGCTGTTAGAAATGAAACGCTACTAACGTCTAAACGGAGTAAAAACTTAGTTGTCCATATTCATGTCTGTTTCGTTGAATGAACTTGTAGATATATTTACATAGGTTCGCTCGCCATTTGAGGTGGCATGATCGGTTTGTAGTTGGCTGGCATTGTGTTTTTTTGGCTACACGATTAGGGTGATTGCTCATCATGTCTTGACCCGAGACAAAGTTCATTTTCTTGAGCTAGCCTTGTTGTAATGCATTTACTGTATGCATTCGTCGATGCTTGTCACTATGATTTACGTACGTGATATCTCACAAGAAGTTAACGTCCTTCCTTTAGGAACAAGTTTACCGTTTCCGCACCAGCTAGCCCATGTTATACGCTTTATTTTTACTCCATGGGAAACGTTGAACTCGCCTTTATCTCTGCTATGATTAATTATCCGTCTTGTCGTGTGTTTCATACAGATAGTACTCTTCATAGAATGGCCTGGAACACGCTTAAAGAATGCAATCGATATCATAATAACTGGGACAAGCATCTTACTTAAAACACGCAGAGTAAAGGGTATAGAAACAGACATGCTTTTTTCTCAATCCATCACACCTGTCTCTTCTGGCTGTTTCGGGCTGCGGATGATGGAGATGACTAAATTCATACCTCATACAAATACCAACGGTTACTAGGATAGTAGCTTTTGAACGAGTTGATACCTCTTGCACAACACACTGAAAAGGTAAACATGAGTACTTGAGAACTATGATGATGATTTGCGTAATGATCAACACAATCAGACGAATAATCCTGATTTCCGCGTTGGTACAGATAGAAAACATATCTTCTTCATCGGTTGCAAGACGAATAGAATGCAGATTCTGTATGAAACGGTATTAGCAGAAGGGTTGAATGGACAGTGAAATGTTCAAGCTATTGTCGTTTGACCAGAACCACGCAACCAAACGTGTTTTGTTTCAAAACATTTTGTGCACACAAAAATGGCTTGTCGTCCTCAATTAACAGATCTTCACTGATGACTAGAAACTGTGGCTTCCAGTTTCGTACTATCACTTCGACGATAGTTCTCGGATTCACCTGGTCACAGATAAATTGAGGTTACGATCTAACCGTCGACATTTTCCCAACAAGTGCATCAGTGCTCGAAAGTAGCCTGATGTTTTTCAGCTATGCGTTACGACAGACACCGAATTCTCTTGCTTATTCAAATATCTCTGCAACTGAATGATAACTGGTGATTTACATGAGTAGCATAGAAATCCCACGAAATGCAGTCACGCATTTGAAGTAAGATCCTTCGAGTAGCCTAGATGACGTACAGTTTGGCTACGCCTTTTGCTCAGACTCAACTTTTTTTATCCAGACTCATTTATCGGTGGATCTTTGGACATTCTTTGTCTCCTCCCACACTGTAATTCTCGGAGGAGCCACAGTATTGCATGTCGACTGAGGATTCAGAATAATCGTTTGCAATCGGTGTCTCATTCAGTAGCACCTGTTCTTTTTCCTCCAAACTACCTACAATACAAATTTACCTAACCCTGCAAGACAACGTTTTAACCATCCCCGTTTTGCGCTGTCTGTAGAAAGATACGGAATGATAGTTATTATCTACTTCACATAGAATTCCGAAACACCAACTGATGGAGAGACCCAGCGACAAGCCGACCCACAGGTACGTCCAAAAAGGGTTAACTGTCTTGTAACTTCTATTCACAGGATAGTTAAAGGTTTTTAGGAATAGGGCTCATCAAGCCGTACAAATTATCGAAATACTGATATTGAATCTGAAGTGAATGTCGCGTCCGCCCTAAGATAAAGCAAATCGCAAAACCTGGCAACAGAGGGGAAATCCGGTAAAAAGTACCAAGGCGGTCAGCCTTTTCCAATAAATCTTAGCTTTCATATCCTGAGAGACCAATAGTCTTTGTACAAAAGGTTCCTCAACGGAACGCCTTTCCAACAGTCCCAGCGAGTAAAACAGCGACTTGTGGGGCAAGTGGGTTACTCCAATAACCTCAACATTAAATCGCCAACATATGGGATCAGCAAAACGATGGGTTTCTGTCTTGCTTTCGTGTACTATGTATACAGTAGCAGCCAAGTAGTGGCTTGAGACCAACTTTTTTCAATTAATTTTCTCTATCAACCAGAGCTTCTAGTAAACCAACACGAAATCTTTCATAATTTGGGGACAACAGAAGCGTCAGAGATGTAGATGGCGATCGGCTGAAGGCTAACGGTTTACCACAAAGATTCATTAATATTGTATTTTTGGAAAAACTCCTTTGATGGAATCATTTTGGGCTCGTTGGTTTTCGCAGAATTTTGCTTGTAGTCTGCGAAAGTTACTTTACGACATCGATTTACTAGCTATCTAATACAACGGAACTTCGCGGCTTGAAATCGATGGCAAAACCCTATATAAAGAGAGTGCGTAGTTTGCAACTCAATTAGTTAATTAAGTGATCGGTTAACTAGGGTGCGTGCATCACGTGGCCACTTGGAACAAAGCACAGCCCACGTGACTCATAAGCGATCAGGTATAAGGTGCCTATCAGCCGAACAGCAGCTTCTAACAAAATTATTCACCCAAGGATCCAAATGACCACATATTCATATAAACTTCACCTGAATCCATTGTCAGACGTGACACATCTGTAGCTTTGTAAAGGAGTTTTTTTTACCAGAGCGATCTAGTCACGAAGTAGAAATACACTTATTGCTGAGCCAAGGTGTGCCCATTAAAAGAAACGAGTTCGGTACCAATTGTGGGTTTAGAATGTACCTGGAGTCACTGCATATCTTAACGCTATTTTAGTAATTCTGTCTTATTATGCGTTTATTGGACAGGAGTTATCACGTTTTTTGCACAATGTTGAAAGTCATTCAGTCCAGGATGCTAGTCAAGCCTGGTTGAGCTTTTGTTCAGTAAATTTGTGGTTTATAAGCGATGAAGTTTCGAATTTTATTCAACCCTTACTCTTGCTCATAGGAATCTGGGGTACACTACCAGTTCTTGGGACTCAATAGCTTGCGTATTTGGCACGTTCTATAATTTTCATCTAGGACCTTTGCTTAGGGCGAGATGGGTTGTTCATTAGAGCGCGGATTTACTGACCAAAAGGTCCGTGGTTTGAATCCGACCTTTACCTCTCGACCTCCCCTGAGTAGGCTGGGGCAATCTGGTAGTATCCCAACCCTCGTGCTACCTTCGGATGGCATGCCAGCTGGACACCGAAATGGTGTCGCAGCTTAATGACGAGCACGTTTGCTTCAGTTACTTGTCCCAGTGAGCCACCTTCGATCAAGTAATAAAATAAAACTTTTCGCGAGATTTTCTTTATTAGAAGAGATCCCAATGACCGAACAATAAGCAATGTCAATTCAAATCAAACAAGTTTCCCGAGACAGGGTTAGTAATGCCGTTTTCTACAGTCCAAAATACTCATCGACTGAATATTGCACTGAATGTGACCACTACAGATAATGGTACAAGTCTCAGCTAAAGTACGATGGAATTTTTCACGGTGATCGAACAAAATACGTACAATAAGTTTTTGATCGTTTATTTTACAACTATTTTTTATTTTACTTTCAGGACAACGATGAGCAACCAGTTAGCCCACCGGCTATGGCGTCGTGTCTAACCAGAGATGAGATTCCGGTTGAAGCGGTTCGTTGGTTTTACGGTCAAGGATCACATTCACTTAAATGGAAGCGATTTAGAGGTGCTGATTCCATCAACCTTGAGAGGGCCTTTCGCGAACAGGACGGTGTAACCTCAGCAGAATCTGGGTCTGCCCGAAAAATCGTTGTCAGGGGTGATTTATTTGAAGCTGATGTATCCAAGAAGTTATGTTCGCCAATATTCTGGCACGGCCAGCGGCGTTCTGCCGTCGGGACTAGGGGAGACTGGTGCACCACACCCATAGAACGCGGCGTGTGGTTCAATAAAATAAACTGGATCCCATTAGACTTTGATCTGGCTTCAGTTATAGAGGAAGAACATGTTTCCAAAGTTATACCGAAACTTAGAATGACAAAAGATGAGAAATCCGCAAAACATAGTGAGCGCTTATATCACTTCGTCTGCTGACACTATCGTTTGCGTATTGTAGGACTGCACAAGTTTTCTCATGGGAACTTCTCTGTAACGTGGATGAACAACGGTGATGTTTATCTGATAACCAGATCGGCTGAACCATTTCGTCACGTGAAATTACAAGGTGACCTAAGTGAGTTTAACCGTTTGCCTCAGTGATCGATTCAATTTCTTTTGCACCAAGGTAGTGTACCGATCAGTCGAGGTTATCGCGATTTCGCTGATCCTAAAGATTGTCGCCCACCAATTACACACCTGTGTTTTGTCGTTCATGGAATCGGACAGCAGTTGGCTAGTGTGCGACATGAATGTTCCAAGTAAGCAAATTGTGCTTTTTTGCCTCGCTATGCGGCTTCAATCGAAGAACCAAATTGGTTGGCTTGGTATTTTGACATAGAATTACAAAATATTAATACAATACCCTTGTGCACTTGTATGTTGTTCGGTGGGGAATAGCATGGCTTAGGATATTATGGCACAGCACAGAAGCCTATAGTGAACACTGCGTGAATCCATATAGTAGAGTATTGTATCCTATATGGTGTGGTACAGTATAGTGTATTACAGCACAGTGTGGTACAGTACGGTAGGGTGTGGCCAAGTGTAGCACAGTACACTACGGTGCCTTTTAGGTGTGACGTGAATCTTCGCCTACGGTTCAACGTTATCTTCATTCACAGAACGAGTGTAATTGATGCAGAATGTCTCATGAGCGGAAGTATTTCCTAGAATGAGAACCGCGTCGTATGTTGTATAACCAGGGTCGTCTAAATTTAGGGTATATCAATAACTTTCAAGCAAATTCACACAGTGTCACGAAATATTCTTCCTATTTGAAGTGAACTCAGTTCTCATCCACATCTGTGATTAATACATACCAGTGAAAAGCGGTTGACCGGTCGCTGGCTACTGGTCAGCAGTTCCAAGGGTCAAGATCATTATAAACGTGAAATATAATTATCACCGAGCTTAACTCCAACGGAAATGCCAATTAATGTATCACCAACGGGTGGCACAATATGGAAATGCTATAGGAGCAATTATTAATACCTCGAGAGCCATCAAATTCATTTCATCATTAAATGTTTCAGTTTTACTTCACTCAGTTCTTTCCGTCCCTATGGCAGTGTTCAGTAAAGAGTGCTGTAAAATTATCCTAGACTGGATTCTCATTCAGCATAAAAAACTCAGCGAAACGGAGCCTGTGGTTATGGCGCTTAGTGTGCCAGTGGTGCTCTTGTCGTGGACTTGACAGGAAACAAGTGGATGTTGCTCACTGGCATCTGATACCTCCGTTGTGATACTTCCCTCAGGGGCTTTAGGAGCCAAAATGTCTGTTCTTTGGTTCTTAGGGGTCTAGCTTTGCAAGGGATGATTCAATGAAGACATCAAAATACTGTATAAGTTGTTGTTTCCGGTCAGAATGTTTCGTCACCAGGTTACTGCATTGTCATTAGTCTCTTAGCATTGTTAATAAAAGCCCGCTGTTCGATACGGGCCATTCCCCCCCTGTGTGAATTTGGCTGGTGAACTTGTTGCCTGTGTGCACTGATCCATACCATCGGTCCCCGTGCTGTTCAACCGTATTCGGTTTATATTAGCGAGTATTAGGTGGTTAAGTAGTCAAGCACCCGACCCTGGTCTGTCAGGCTTCACTCGTTTACAGTTCAGTGCTTTGCAAAACGAAATTTCTACGAAAGTGGGACAGCACGAAGGTAAAATAAAAGCTTTTCTTGGGGAAAATTACTTTCTTGGGTAAACTCTGTGATACTTAATCAAACTTTATTGCGATGTTTCAACCAAGGTTGAGGAAAGTACTAATGAAAGTGGCCCGAAAACGATATCCTGGTCTGGAGTCGAGTGGACAACGCCTGGAACTCATTCCAGTGGACTGGCGATCAGCTTTGAACCTGAACTGTGGCACACTGGAGAACATCACAGTCGGTCAGATGCGACCTTTGCGAATGTACATCAATAATTGTTTTATTGACGTACTGTACTATACCAGCCCAGTTTATCGTGCGGAAATAATGAAGAGTTTGAGTTGGGAATTAACTCGCTTGTTCAACACCTTCTTGCGTAATAATCCACACTTTTTGCAAAAAGGTGGACAAGTTTCTGTCTTCGCACATTCGCTCGGCACCGTGATCATGCATGACATACTTCGCTACACGGATCAGCAACTTGCTTTCGTCAGTCCGCCTGTGAGGCAAGTAAGTTTTGTTGTTTGATCTGGTATCGTTGGTGACCATGGCTGTTAATTTATTCCTCGGTGTTTGATAGCAAAATAATATCTTTACTGAGACTTCTAAAAATTAGGAATTTTCTACTGGGCTCGATATTTTGATAAACATTTTCTTGAGGGTTTTATGAAACAAATCCATTGTGACTACATTGAATCTGTAAATCGCTTGCGGAGCTAATCGATGTTGATGCGAAATTCAGGTGGATTTTCAATAAATCGTCCGTGAATTTAGACTAGAAGCCTCATTGTTCAAAGTTTCGAGTCCATCTTTCACGTAGGTAGTACTATGAGAAGCTCGACGACCGACTGCCCTCATGCCGCTTACTCGGTGGAAGAAAGCTGTGAAAGAGGTCGGAGTTCATTCAAATCGCAGTTACTACCAACGGACTATAGGCAAGCAATTGGATGTCCAAATATAGTAAAAGACTGACCGGAACTCAAGTTTCACGCTCACCTGATATTTCCAAACTAGGGGGGATTCGGCAAGTTCTCACTTGTTCAACCACAGCGTCGAACAGTGTTTCTTACAGCTGCGAATCGTCTCAGGGTAAAAGTGACACTCATGATGGTTTCCATTAATAAACGTTACTTTAAATCGAATTCCTAGGTTTGAAGCAATGCTCAAGCAGCAAATCATTGTGTCTGGTCCTTCATAAAGATCGGTAGCACTGGATTTGAGTTTCACCCACATTGAATCTTATCAGCCTTGCCTATCTTTGGCCATGCTGGGATTTGTGGTTCGCACTTCTGATTTGAGAAGATAGCATGTTTTCATAAAGGAAACTACTCACAAGGTTGCTGAAAACTCTTCGACAGCCCACGACCGGTTTCGCCCTTCTTGGGGCCCATCAGGTAAGCGCAGTCCCCGAATTTCCGTCAACCTTATGATCTACTTGGACCCAAATTGCACTGTTTCCGAGAAATACACTCATTTGCAGATCAATTTGGTTTTCACGGGAGACTCAAACGAATATCTCGCTTATGATGTCCTCCAACTGAATGTGCTGCACACAGACCGCCTCATGATTCAGTTGGTACGATATTCGAGATATCGCAGTATATTTTCATAAAGGAAACTACTCACAAGGTTGCGATTTGGGTTCAAGTAGGTCATAAGTTTGACGGAAACTCGGGGACTGCGCCTACCTGATGAGTCCCAAGAAGGGCAAAACCGGTCGTGGTCTGTCGAAGAGTTTCCAGCAACCCTGTGAGTAGTTTCATCTNTATGAAAATGCGATATGATATCTCGAATATCGTGACAACTGAATCATGAAGTGGCCTGTATGCAGCACGTTCAGTTGGAGGACATGAGATATTCGATTGAGTCTCCCGTGAAAACCAAGTTGATTTGCAAATGAGTGTATTTCTCGAAGATAGCATGTTGTTTTTGCCCCATCGAAGCACCTTGGGCGCATCTGAGCAAGCACCCATTTTGAGCGGTCTGTTCACTTTGCTGGATGATTCAAACGATATTCCGGTAAACACCTCACTACTATCGACTGACACGCATGTCATGACCTAAAAGTCAGTTTGTGCATGGAGCGTTTCACTGCTGCTGGACGATTTCTTTACCGAGTTTGAGCATCTGTGGAGTTTACCTCCATATCGTTCCGAATCAAATTTCCACATTCTAACCCTTTGGCCATGAATATTCATAGTCCCATTCTCCACCGCCCACATTTTATCAAACAGAATTGTCCAGCAGTTTTTGAATACCTACAACACTGTTCATATTAGGGACCCTTATAAGCAAGTTAGTCACTCAGCGAACTCAAGACAGTGTTCTGGAGAGCATGACATACCACTCACATTGCTCGCGGGTTTTCGTGCCAGAATAAGGGTTCTTCCAGTGTGTTCTGGTGAAGCAGTGGTAATAAGACTGCCTCGCAAATCTGATGATCGGGGTCCAACTCCTGCTTTAGTAGGTACGAAATCAGGCATAGGGTTCCTCTGCTTTTGATATAAGGCAATATGAATAAGCGTGTCAACTCGAATGTGGGAATGTCGAATGGATTCAGTTTTAGAAAACGAATGGTTTCTATCTCGACGAATTTTCCACTCCCAAATCCGCCAGGAACATTTATTAGCCCCCGGAAGAAGCCATATGGAGTCGTTTCTGAGAATAAAAAGGTGATTTTCAATGAACTTGAAGAAACCCGTTCTGAGGGGTTCTGTTAGTTGAGCATCTTCAGCCTATGTACTTCGCTGAGTTTTACTTTTCCAACATAGTTTATCCCCAAACATTTGGTACCCGCAAGATGTGCCTTTGTGAGTGATGCTGATACAAATTTGAGTAGAATGTAAACAGTGTGAGTGGTACTCGGTAAGTGAAAATGTCTCCCCCAAACTGGGTCCGTTCAGTGAAAACCGATATGGAAGATGATTGGATCTGGATCAAAAGAAAAGAAGAAACAGAATGACTGGCAAATTACGTTTCATTTAAAAATGAGTAGAGATAGAGTACACGTTGCTATTTAGCTCCTTCGAGGAACTTTCTTATACGGTTGACTACCGATGGGGTTCAGAAGATCCGCGATTGGCATTAGATGGTGAAAACTAAAGTTTCGTTTAGAATCTATCAGGATGATTAGTCATATGTTTCTCATTGCATGCTGGCAAGAATACCTTTTGATAGATTCACGTGCACATTACCGAAATTAGCAGGCGTACTTCATTGCTACGTGACGCTCCTAAAAAAACGAACAATGAAGATCACAGCAGTAATGAGATAAAATTAAAACTAGTCCATACAATAAATCTGATATAGCCAACGGCACAGTCAGTCGATAGTTTTCAATGGCTTATCACCAAGAAACATTTCAATCGAATATGCATAACGAAAATCAGCCAACCCCACAGAGGTTCGTTCTACATACTGTTGACACAAGGTAACAGAGCTGGAAAAATCAAGATTTCTGCAAGCATTGTAACGTTTGTCAGTCAATTTTGTCAGTTTATCAACTTTATAAATCACGTACCAAGTCTACATCGTCTCCAGCTGCTACAGTTCCGATCAGCTGAATCTGTGGCAGAACAGGAGATATAGCCTACACTATCGAGGTGATAACATGATCAAATAGTTCGAGCAATTGGACAAAGGTGATAGCTTTGATCCAGGAAAGTCAATAACTGCGTGGTTCATCCGTCTCCCTTTATTAAGCATTGGCTAGTTGAGTCCTTGGGTCTTCATCCAGATTGACTGCAGTTGTTGACCCGACTGAGTAGATTGTTTAGTGTTCTCCCACTTCGTCACCAGGTAGGCTTTCCACATCTCAATCGCTTTCACTCAGAGCAGGACTGAGAGAAAAGAGATCTGCGAGGCATACGGTCTTCTGATATGCGGGTTTATCCAGTTTGAGACGAGATTAATATCACAGCTAGTCTAACCTATTCAGTGGCCAAGCAACCACTACATGGTTTACTAACTTTTCATAAATTGTATGTGACAAGATTCCCCTACTGAATGAGTTGTGGACACAAAAATACAAAAAATGCATTCAGCAAGGGCATTCGCAAAGATCCTGAGGTCACGATGGTGATTTCTTCCGATGGTTGTGCCGTTCAAGTAAAAATTCAACAGGTTTGTCAACCTTTAACCACGGGTTTTCCAGAAACCTAGTTTTTCCAGAAACCTACGTACTCCTTCGTTGAAACCATGAAAGCTTGGCGGGTAAGCAAAAACAGGCTACTGCTGACGCCTCCCTTCTTCCTCTTCCACATATTTTTTCTTCCTCCTCCCTCAAACCTACTAATAACCCTCTCCTTTTAAGTCCAGCATTTCGGACTTATGACTTCGTTCGTCCTTCACCGCCGAAATCCTCAGGCATCTCGAAATCCATATTCGGGCTTCGACGCCCAGTCTATCTGGCCACCTTCAGTGTCCGCACTCTGAAGTTGCAAGAAACATGCTTAAGTCTAGATTTTGAGATTCGCACTGACTAAGACGGTGAATACACTGTTCTCTCAGGCGACGCTACCTGTACTGAGTAAATATGCTGTACATCATTACAGCAGAATAAGTTGCTCTTGTCCTCATTTTTAGTCCCCTCGATTCATTAACATCTTTGCACAGCCGAATTAGGTGTCCATCTTATTGGTTGTTGATCAGCTGCCTCGAGATATGTTCACAAAACTTGGTAATCGAATTGCAAACGTTTCGTCACCTTAGGAGAAGATATCATTGGTACTCAGCTGGGTGTTAGTTCGACGAATTCACTTCCGGTAGCTAGCACACTGGTTGTTGGTCTTTTGCGTCTCGTGATTCGGCCGTGTGGAATATTGTTACTCTGCTTAGTCGACTGCCGAACGAAAAACAAAGCACTTAATTGTCGACTAATCATTTGATAAATTAATCTCGCATACGATGGCAAGCTTGACTAATTTTACTGCTAGTCTAGCGCTCGGTTCCTCTGATTTATTACCACATTTTATCCGATAAGATGTGACTGTCCTTCGCGTAAACGCACAAAGAGGGGAGGAATTTGTCAAACATAAGCGTGCATCACTTTTTCGTCTCAGGTTCTACATATTCCTGCCTTCTCACTCTATTGCATTCCAGCTTCTCACACCTTTAAACTGATGAAGTTATTCTTGCCGTGGACCTTGGTTATATTTTATCTGTCAGCTAGGGAGACACTCGAATGAGTGCTTTGGAAAACCAGTTTTGATATCGGTCGTATGGTGGAGGCCCGTCACAAAGAAACTGGACATGTTGTGCTGTAATGTTCGGTCCGCCTCTGCCATCCGTTGAGCCATATTAGAGGTTGTCCGTGTGACGTCCGCATCGTCTCTCATACAAAGTTGGTCAGCAGTTGGAGGTCACACTATTGCGGCTTTTCGCTCCCCCAAGGTGCTGATTGTAGAACGCATGCTAAGATATGGGTAGTCTCTCGCCAATCATCACGGCCTTACGGTCAGCTTTTGTAACCAGAAGCTTCATCTGAGGACGCTAATTGCCATCTCATCTGGAGTTGGGCAGCCTGAGAACATGTCTGCCCATCATGAATTGAAAGAATACATGTAGTTTCATGTCACCTCGACTATTAAGTGCTGTCGTCTCCTATAACTGCTATATAAGGAGAAACTGGGTTACCGAAAGCAGGTTAATTCCAGCAGCTTCACTTTTTACTATTGTCGTAACTCATTCTGTCTCTCTGAGAGCTGAGTTGAACATTTCTGACAGTAGTTTGCCTGGTTGTATGGTCTTGTACCAATATGTTTCGTTCGACCCACTCGACAGTTATGATCTGTCGCAGTTTCTGACTTGGCCATGTGCATTTAGGCCTTGATGCGCCATCGAGCTCCAGCGCCGAGCATTGTCCTAGCAACATCATTCAGAGACAGTGATGCGATTTTTTTTACGTTACCCAGAGTGCTTAAACTAATGTGGGAAAAAGAATGTGTTCCAGCAACCTGAAGCCAGTCATTGCGTCTTTATTCAAAAAGGTATCCTAAGCGATTGGCCCAGCCATGGAGTTATAAGTTTTATTTCATCTGTAATTCGGCTGGTAGTTTCATAATTTCTGCCACATCTGACTTTATCGCTCGAGAAGCATTTCCGAGGTCACCAAGTAGGTCCGCTTCGTCAAATTTTCATATTTGCCAGCTTAGATTTCCTTATCTTGCCACCTGCTCAAGCAGCGATTGTTGTGTGACAGATGAAGTGAGTGCACACATCATGAAGATATGGAAAATATTTGCCAGTTTGCGCCACACACTGATTCAGAAACGAACATAACGGAAATGAAAAAGCCGTGGTTACAAAGTCATCACGAAGGCCCTCTTATACTGAAGACCGCAAAAGTCTTTAGATATACGATTTCCACTGCCACCGCAGTATAGTTTGCCTTATCTGATTTCACCACTCAGCTAATGAAAAGGTGCTCGGGAGGGCAATAGATACTGAGTCACTTTCGTCGGTGCAGACGATTTTATTCATCAGATTAGGTTGGATGAAGAATGCTCTACGTGTGAACACCACCAATCTACCGAGAAAACAAAGCTTTCTACCCGAAGCCCTTGTTGATGAAAAGTTGGCAGAGAACAGGTTGTAACGTGGAAATGCGAAATGAAAGAGCTACTATCAGTGTGAACCTTTTGAGATCTTCGGGTCTTCGTCAGTGGGATTTGAGTGATTCTTCTCGTTCGTGGTTGGAAACCCCACAAGACATGGCAAATGACCGATCACAGTGGTGGGCTTGCAGTCACGTCCTAGTCAGTTTGTGTAGCTAACGCTTGTCTGTCACTGTGCTGGGTTTTTATGTCGCGTGGGTTTTACAGGAGATTTTAGGTCCGCTTCGCTCACGGAATCTTGTCCAAACGCTTTGTTCAGACATATTTTGGGAGTTTAGGCATGTCTCTGTTTACCACTTTCCCGGGGAACATCGTTTTATCAAGAAATCCCCACTTCTTCGCGTTGTTTTGGTCTTTCACTATGGCCTCAACGGCCGTAACAATCTTCAGAGGATAGGGACTTTCTGAAGTGAGAAGGAGATGACCAAGACTGAGCGCTCGGAGTGAAATGTAGAAATGCCTAACGTTTTGGAAGGGACCATGTCATGGAGTTTAAACCTTAACAAAACAGATGTCACTAGCCAGTTGGATGCATGTGATTTGTGTTTATTTTTTGTGTTCACTGGATAACGAACCACTAACTCTGGATTTGCTGATTGCTTTCTTGGAGCAGGTCGGACCGACCGATAATTCGCCCATTTCGTTGAAGCAGAAAATAGTTAGATGGTTGGCTATGGATTCTACACATTAGTGTTTTGTTTTGAGATGGAGCCAAAGTAGTGTAGTGAGTTAAATTACAAATCTTGGTAATTGTGTTCAACCGGCTAAACAATTTCCTTTGATGGCGAAGGCACTTTCATCATCTTCGATATCCTCTCCTGTTTTCCAGTGTATCTATAACGGATAGCTTAAGTCATATTAAACGGTTGTTGAAACAAGACCGCAAACTAAACAGCTGAAAAGATTGTCCAGTACTACACACTCCTGATGTTTTAACAACAGAGGGGTGGTCATGTACTGTCCTGGTTCCTTCGTTCTGCCTAATTTTGTTTTTTTAGCACTTCGGACATTTCTCCTTTCACATGTCAGGAATGTGACCAATAAACTAAATGGCATTTTGATTGTAACGAAAACTCTGAACCCGGTTGACGCATACTAGTACCCGACGCTGATAGCAGAAAGGTAACTTTGCTTGAGAGCAATATCTCATTGTAAAACAGTCATTCTGAAACTATAGCCTACCGCAAGGCAAGGCATCAAGAACTCCCCACAAACTTCGAACTTCACATTCGAGTAGTTAGGCAAAACAGAGAGGAACACAGCAATTGTACCTAGTGCGTCGGCTGAGACGATCGGATCCGTTTTGATGGAGTACACATCCCGCGTCCCATGACCGAAACGACAGTCATTCATAAAAATTCTGTTATTCACCAAACCAAGGAATGAGATACCTTACGCAGGCCCAATGAATCACACAGAGACAAGATGATCTCATAACATGATATCCGGACATCCAGTGCTCCCTTGATTAATGAATAAATGCCCATAATTGTATGATTTCTATCAGTTTTAGTCCATGTGTCTTAGTTCTAGCTGTCATGTTTCTGCTCTTAAAGAGCGTTCCACTCTAAAGCTATCTGTAAACCCCTTTAAAGGAGTCACGTGGCATGAGAATTGGTCGCATTCAAACAACTTACCCATCACATTGGACTATGCAGACAGGTTCGTGTGCACGATAGCTAATACCACATGCTAAATTCACCAACACGTCAAACTGGGGGTCCGTTTTTGTCTGGTCAAATGAGAACAACTGAAATGAGACCTCAGATGCAAACCAGGATTTTCCTCCTGCCTGTAGCATTCATAAGACTCAACCGGGGTGCACAGTGGCTAGGTACCGCCAGGCGTCATTCAGTTCGGTCGGCACGAAGTGCTCACTTAAGGTTATTTTTAATACCCCTAAATGTGTCCAGACTGTTGCAGCAACTGCAACTGTGTACAACATAACTCAACAGCAGCATGATAGGATCATACAGTAAGATAAACTGTAGTACATTTAGAATGGATCCGAGATATAAACAAAAACACACGCATAATGTTCAACTCAGGCTCTAAGTGGCAAAACATTTAAAGCCGCCATAGGTTTCGGCAATCTTGCTCCCCTGGACAAACTCAACGGCTGCATAGCACTTATTATTGCAATGATAGATGTACGGACATCGATATACTGGTCCCCTATGCAGGGAAATACCTAGTGTTATATTGTTATGCATTAGTCGAACTCTGCAGAGGCCATTCGAGGGGACCTGAAGCAGACCGGTGGAACCAAGCGGTCAGTCTGGTTGAGTAAAATCAATGCTACCCGTAGCGCCAAAAACTCTAGTAGAACAGCTGGTGCTCTATTCTGAGGGCTCGCCCTCTGAAGGGAGGTGGTTTTAGCGTGCTGTTTCAATATAAATAGGTCAACTCACACTTCCGTCTCTAGAAAAGTGCCGTAGAAGGTTTGTTTTGTTATCTTGAAATCCTGGCATACCACTCGAGTGTTCTCAAAAGGGGGTACTTGCACGGCTATATGGATGGTCTTCAAAAAATAAATGGCTTCCAAACTTCTAATCCGTCCAACTCCATCTACCCCCAGTCTATGTAGCAGTCAAAATCACAAGCCCTTTTCTTCTCTGTGTCTTACAGGAGCAAGCACCAACCACTGTTGCGCAAAAGATCGCAAATGAGATTGACAAAGCACGATCTGAGTGAGTTTGCTTATGAATGGTTTGAGAAAATTATCATGTTGATCATGTGCTATTTAGTGTTTGAATAATTCTTTGTGGGTGCTTGATTCCAGGACTGAGGACATGAAGGAGGTACGGGGCTTCATTTTGTTACCAAATGTTTAATGAGCGGTCAGCCGAGGTTTTGTCAACGCTTATTTTACAAAAAGACTTCATAAATAAGAAGGAACTCACACACTAAGATATAATTGTTGCCATGAAATAACAAATTACGCAACGAGTTAAATTTCCATGTACAGGTGTTCGTTTTTATCGATAGTCGAAAACTATCTTCAGCTATCATTGCACTCAACCACATCACCAGTTAGAAAAACACCAGGGTGGCCAAATTTAAGCCACACTTCCAAATCGGCATGGATAAATGAGTAATTGTGAATCGGCAAACATGGTCAATAGGTAATAGGAAGAAATTAACGAAGGCATTGGTTGGTTTTCGAACTTCACTACATCGTTTCTGAAAATCAATGTAGTAAATCACTGCTTTTAAGACGAGGTGATAAGAAACAACGCGTGCCCATGTTTCAGGCAGGTCGACTCGTGATATTTCCCGTCTGTCCATTCGTTCTCCTGATAGTAGAGCTGAGGATAAGCATGCGTCATACAGTTTGCGGCCAGTGTTGAGATTCTAAGTGCATGAAAGGTAACATCCTCGAGTTGAGGTTGGTGGTGGCAACCGAGAAGAAACGCGAAGGAATTTGTGGACACCAACGGCATGCATCCTCATTTCATGAGGATTTCGGGACGCGCATCGTTCTATGTAGTATTTGGGCGCTATATATCTTGCAGCCTGTAGTGACTGATTGGCAGTATCTAGTTCAGCGAGGTATACCACCAGTCTTCCAATCAGTTCATGTCATTTAAGGTTGATTGCATCCTCGGCTGACAAGTTCACAAATGTAAGGTCTATTTGACCCGTTTTTGTTATTCTGAGCACTGCTGACCAACCATTCATGGTCAACTGAAAGGGTTCAACCGGTGATGAGAGTTCGATGTTTCCACTGTCCCAATTGTTTCGTTGGACGCGAACTGCTGAAGATTTCTAGGAAAGGCAAAACGCCTCCGCATTACACTTTCTTTCTGTTTCCAGTATCGGTTAGCTTAACTTGTTGGTTAAAACATAGACAATGTAAATAATACCTAATAATACACACACGCACTACTTATAAAATGAGCTCCCATAGAAATCTTACAAATTATTCTGCGCCAAACATCCTGTCGGATCTGGTGTCCATTTCCACCATAGACGCCAGTCCTGGAAGAAAATGTACTACCACCTGTCGTAGTCCAGTCAAAACGGTTCTGGCTGGAATTCACCGAAAATTCCGCCTCTGATACGCAACAAACATGTTCGAGACTAAACCGTGGAAAATACGATATCCCATTTGCTAAACCATTGAGTCTTAAGCGGTGATAAACTTAACTGAGGTAACCAACTTACCTGAAGTTACTCTAGTTCCAATGCTAGGCGTGGGTGTGCTCACTGATGAGCACAGTTTAGGCCGAACTTCCAGTAATGTGACACCTTGTGTTTTGTTTCCATTTTCATGAAGACTATTTAATCTGGAACTGAAGATGCTTCAACACATGTCAATGGACCCGCAGTCACCGGGTGTTGGTGATGTAAGTGGGTGTCTGCACGCTGATGATTAACGCTGGTCTAGACAACTCTAACCGACTCGGCTTGTTGTATGCTGACCTGCTCCGTTTTAACGCTAATGCTAACCCTGCCGCCGTTTCTCGCATTGTTTTCGGTGAGATCGATATAACAACTGCAATCTTGCGTAGCCCGATTCGGAGATAAGTAGCAATTTTGGCCCAGTTCAGTGTAGTTTGGTTGCATTTTCATGGGCATGAGAGCGCGACTGTATAACAATAGGATATGATCCTGCCTATTAAGGGTGATAAAACGGTCTACATTAACTTGAACTGATGGGTAAAATCGAAATTGGACGCTGACAAGCCAATCAAAGCTTGGTTTCGTCCCAAAGTTTTCCTTCTTGAGCGTAGAACAATAACCTCCGGAAAACATACCTCCCAGAGAGAACTACTGAGTTTTGATTTTGTAGTTACGGATAGCGATAGCTCCCAGGTTAAGTGACAACTTTTTGGCTTGGTAGTTTGGCTTGATGAATTAGTGAAGCATTATTCTTTTCGCGTGACTATGTCAACATTCCTGTTTTGCGAAGGTTCCTGCCTAAGTACACATGAATTCCCGCCGTTTCTTCGATTTTCACGTGTCTTCAGGTATCATGTTACCCGGTTTTCTATAACAAACCAACAGCAGCTTGGCTGGAAGAGAATCAGTGGCTTGCTGCCTTAGTGAGAAGCTGATTAAGGTAATTTCACTGAAGAGAGAAATCGCGGTAAAAGTTGGTTTTTGACCCTTCTTATACCGTCTTCTTTACAAAGAGTAAGGTTACAGTGAATAACCGTTATAGTTGGTTCTATAAATAGTCTACCAAACTGAAGATAGATTTCCAGACCAATCTATTTTTAAGCTATCTCACTTGCACAAACTTTTTCGAACGTTAACTGAACACAATCAGTGGAAATCTACCCCGCCGATGCAGCGCTAAGATGTCGCCGATTGCTCCACATGAGAGGGCGCTGTTTTTTCAAGCACAATGTTCTCTGAATGTAATATAGGTTGCCAGGCGCTCAGTAAAGTGCATCGAAGCTTAAAGGGTTTTGTCAAAGCAACTGAGTGCACATAATACTACTACGGGTGCTACTTTTAGCTGTGCTTCAACGGTCAGATGCCAAAACGTTTGTTTCGCCTGTTCTTTTCACTGTTACTAATATATCATCTTTTATTCAGTCCGCAACAACATCGGTAAGTCAACAAGTACTTTTATCTAGTAGAATTCATTCCTATTACTTAACTACGGGTGTGCAACACGCTATCTGATGAGGAACGTTTTTTCACATTCAGCGATTATTATATCGTCGCATCTAAATATGAACTGTCAGTGCCTGTTAACTCAACAGTTGAAATATCAAAAATCTTTTGTCCGAAGGCAAAGGACACTACTGTTTTTCACAAAAAATTGATTAAGACAAACGACCTGGTTGTTTTTAGTCATTTATGAATGGACGAGGAAGTTGCCTGGAAGTTTTTATTGGTTTCCAGCCCTGCTCAGTTGTGAAATTTTCATTAGGGTGGCCATCCCTGCCTAACAATAGCTGGACTGTCCTTTGTTATATTTGATGAAGTGCATAAATCTCCCATGTTTAAACATAAGCAGATAATGCAAATACTCTCTGTGTTTGCTAGTAGCTGTGATCGCATTTACCTCATGACTCTGATGGTTCCAATTCCCGTAAGATCAGAAGTCAACTCCAACAAAATACGTGTTCGATGATTAGCTCTTCAGGTGGTCAAAAAAGATTTTTATTTTCAGCATAGAAGGGGTGCTCCAGCGGACTCCCTGCAACAGGGAATGCTCGCAGTCGGTCAAGAGGCTCACCGAAGTTGGAAGCTAAACCTAATCTGATCACTTGTTTCGTATTCTACGACTGTGTGATATGCGGTTGGCCATGTGACTGATCGAATACAGGGTGTCACGTGGCCGTTTACTGTATGCTCACCTGATAAGTTTTAATAGGTACGCTTACATTTTATGGGTATCAGTCATGTCTTCTCTGTTAAATATCATTAGACATCCAGAAAGACCAGCTCATCCAAATCGTCCGTTCCTCTGACAAAGTTTAATCGCTAGAATTAGTTACTGGTAAATTATGTTTCACCGTCATTCTTTGGAATTCTCCTGTCTAAGTACGACTCTTCTGGTTTGCCCAGAAGAGGATAGTTCAGCCAAGAAGTCCTGCCACAATCCTTAGTCGGTTCAGTCAAAGTTAAACTGGAACGTGTTAAATATTTGTCTATAGTTGCTGTCCAACTGGGAATCTCAAGTAATTTCTCCCAACATTTTTTGTCTACCAACAGTCTCTGAATAACTGACATTCAAATCACCTTGTCTTGCATGCTTTTTGTTCCTTTTTGGACAGCAAGAAACCTATCTGTCCAGCTTTCGTAGGCCCGCTTCCTGGAAGCCTCTTCCACAGGTAACTTTGCTAGGATGTATAGGGCGTTTTGTTGTGCTTCATTGTATTTGCATTGAATACAGATAGACCGTGGAATTAAGTGCGGTTTGAATTCTTTGTCAGAGCCTGTATGGTGAGTTTCCTGAGCGAAACAGTAGCACATTTCTAGCAACATTGGAGACCGTTACAAGGAAGGAACAATGTGATTGTTCCAGCTTTTCGTTGCTGTTGAATAATAAGTAGCAGCGTATCAGGTCAGAGTGCGGGTTATCGGTACTGTTGACCTATTAGAAGTAGGTTAGCAGGGGCGTTGACTCTGATTTCCAGATCCCCATGAACCCTTGGGGGAATGCCAAAAATTTACTCCTAATGAGGAAGGGAATATCAAGGTCATTCCCCATACCGCAACAGCGCTTAGATCTGGTGTGAACTCTGATAAAAACTTTCCCGTGTACGTGAAAGCTGAGCTCCAAGAATAGCGATGGGTGTTGATGAAATAGCTCATCATTTAGTGCACCAAATCAAACTTGATGAGTCACTGATACCAATTTTAATTCTATCTGTCTTATGAATGCTGTTTGTTGGTCGGTACAAACTTCCGGTTTATGAACACCCCTGTGCTGGGCAACTGTCTTTGAAACGCCTGTACAATATCCTATCGCTATGTCTGTTTGATTTTTAAGTCTGCCACACACACTATGTACAAAGGAAGAGGTATATACAGCAGTGCCGGACTGTAGGGAGAACATAAGATCATATGCCAATGACGGGCGAGGCACGCTTCAGAAAGTAAAGGGGGTGCACAACTTATTTCCTATGGAGTTTGTGAATGTTGCAAAACACCCAGATACGCAAATTAAAAGAAAACGATCCGCAAGCTGAAAGAGAAAAAAAGCGAATATGTTTACAAACAGATTCCCTCTCATTTGACAGCGGAAACATATGAAAACTATGGGGGAATGCTGTCAGAAACCGCTCCGCGTTTGGAATAGCACTTGGCCAATTTCCAATTATCCTGAGAACCAGCATGCTAATTTCAGAGTCTCGATTGCCACTGGTGTGATTTTCTGCAATGGGTACGTGGCGCAAGTTGAAAACAACTTGACAAGGCATCAAACTGTGTTTTACATGATCATTCGGGCTTGCAGATCTGGGTTGTGTGCTCATCTACACTGACCATCTTACAGACGGGACAGCCATAAAATCAAAACACGTGAATCTGAACACCAGTGAAAACGTCTGCAGAACCACGATAGATCGGGTGTGTCAAGATGATTGGCGAATAGAGCACGGAAACTAGAAGTTGATAAGATTTGTTTGCATAATCACGGGTAAAGGGTGTTGTATTTTTCAACAGAGTGTCCGATAATATGTGGGTTGTACTTTGTACAGACAGCGTCTGTTGGTTTTGGTAACAACGTTTCCTACACATTCAGCAGCAAGAAAAACCTCGAAGGCCAGTTCCAAGCTTGCGCCATTTTGGGTTGTACTTTGGCACTACAGCGTCTGTTGGTTTTGGTAACAACGTTTCCTACACATTCAGCAGCAAGAAAAACCTCGAAGGCCAGTTCCAAGCTTGGAGACGCCATTTTGAGAAGAGGTGATAGTCGTTACCGAAAATATGTAAACTGCTCGTTTGTTTACAAAAAGTAAAGCTCCAACCTATGTTTTCCAATTCTACTGGTGTACTGCTTTCCATAATGATACCAACGACGAAGCCTGTAATCACTTGTTTCTCTCACGGTGCTTCTTTTTGTCTTTCTTTTTAGCTCGCCCATCTATTCTTGGTTGGGTCACCTCTGGGATTATTTATTTCCTTAAACAGCGTGCCTGAACCGCCACCAACTACCCCCAACTCTGCTACAAGCTCGCCATCAGTTCCGGTGCAATCCAGTCCCAGACGCCGCAAGAGACACAACAGCATAACCAGTCAAAGTTCTGGAAGTTCCGAATGTCCGGAATCTGGTGTCTTTGACTTCGGTCAACCGGATCCAGAAGCGTTAATCCCATTTCACGCTTGTCGTCGGGTCTATAACATATTTCATTCGTACGATCCCATAGTAAGTTGTTGATATGAAAGTCCAGATGTGGAAATAGGCTTTCAGCCAGTTAGATGGACGACTCGGATCAATTATAAAACATGGGTGGAAAGTGAAATTAAGAAAAAAATTGAAGTGAGTGGAATAAAATATCTTCATGACTCATACTTAGTGGTTGCGCGAACAAAGGACCCTCATGTGCACTGCTTCCAGTTGGGATGACCCTTCACGATAAGGAACATATTTTACAAACGGCGTGGGTGTTAAAACATTAAGGCACTGACGTTCCATTCCGTCTCCTGCCTTCTCATATCTGAAGTAAACGGCACTTTTAACACTATCGTTCTGCAAACGTCACGTGAAAGAATACCACAAACTCGTGTCTGACTAATGCGCGATTAGTGATGAAAATCATCCCTTTGCAACAGTCATTTTTGAGTTCAGCACACCTTTGCATATCTGATTTACTCACAATAAAATGGGGGAAAAATGTAACGTTTGCTTGAGCCCACTTAAAGCGCCCACACACTCTTATTTTAGAAAGCGTACTTCAAGTTGAACACACGAAGCAGTACCCAGTTAACTTATCTTTGAATTATTTCCTGAGTTAGCCCGCACTCCTTCTACCAGGCTTGGTGCCTCCTCATTTCTGTTTCAGTCTTCTTCTACGTACCGTTTCGTGTCGAACTTTTGAAAACTCTACTATGGAGGCTTCCTCCTTGGGTTTTTTATGACAAAACAATGAATTTAGGGATGCAAGCCAGAAGGCATTTTCTAGTTTCTTTGATCCATCAGTTCTGGGATACATAGACGAATATTGCGTTTTGAGGTGTTCGACACCCCAGAAAAGTATTTTTTGCAGAACAGGCCTTTGGGAATCTACTTGATTCCGAGACTTAAGCAGTGCTTAAGTTTACATCCTGGTTCTCAAGAGAAACCGTCTATTGGTGATACCTGGAGAGACTCAGTCTTTCGAGATATAAGAATTTTGGGCTACGCTCCATGACAACTTTGGGACACCACTATTTGAAAAATAGGCTGAGATAGCTAACGTGTCCTTGGATGTCGAATAGATAACCCAATATCTCATGGTCCATTACATTTTACCCAGCATGCACCTCTATGAAGCTGTTGCACAGAGAAAAGGCATTTTAAATTCACCGTTTTCCGGTATTTGCGGATCTCATTAGTATTATGGCTGTGGGCTCATTGCTATGATAACTCAAGCATTGGAACCATTGGAAGGACTCCGTCTTCATCATATAGTACATGATCATCAAGTGATTCTGCTTCATCTCGCCTTTCAGTCTGAAAGCTATGCATTCAGGTTGCATAGGCAGTTCAAGTGGTAAACTTACTCCACTTGCGTTTGACATCTTTCACTGACCGTACACCGATTGCCTTGATTGGCGTACTTTTAGGACTGTGAACAGATTTGTGCTCTTCCTTCACGTCGATGTATGCCTGCACTCATATGTATAAATTACTGAAAATGCGGGTTTCAATCCTGTTCACCGGAGGGTTCCGGCACGTCGATGTATGCCTGCACTCATATGTATTAATTACTGAAAGTGCGGGTTTCTCATATGTAATCCTGTTCACCGGAGGGTTCCGGTACGCGATAGCTGCTTCGTGCTTTCACGGTCCTTTTATCATTTATCTGATGTGTTTTAGGCGGGGTTATGAATGCGCAACAACTGATTATTCTGTCACATGCTGTTGTAGAATTCACACAATTCTCTGGAGTGTATCTGTACAATACTGACACGTAGTTTGTTTGAAGTAATTGTCTTTCTACCGGAAAGACTGATTTGCAGAAGATACTATTGCTCCAACGGGTGAGTGCAACAAGGGATGGCCACTGATGATACTCACATTATTTCCTAGATTTTTACGTAACGTGTGGCATGTTAAACAGCCAGTAGTTATTTCACATCGTCGCTGTTGTTGTCTTCAACCAAATTAGTTACCGCCGTCTAGGTGTCAGCTGTTTTCTGCTTCACTGTGGTATCCTTTTTGAATACTACGAAACTCTATTGATCCAAAGTGGCACCTGACAGTGGATTAAATACCGGAAATCTGTTTGGAGTTGTTTGAGTCTAATATTTTGACTATTTGTCTGCCTGGTATATTCGTTTGTTAGGGATTAGGTCTGGTTTATTACAGAAGAACAGATAGGTTTTCTCGGCAAATGGATGAAATTTTCGTAAGAGGCAAAATACATCAGATAATTTTTTTTACCGCGATTCTAAGATATATAGCTGATTCCCCATACCATATTTCGACAGTTATAATTGTGCGTTTGACGAACATAGCATCCGGATTCGATACTACAACCAAGCAAAACAAATTAATTACTTCTAAAATTGGCAACCCATGAAAAAACTAGATTCTTCAGGTAACACATCGTAGCGCTGGCTTTATTCGAATTCCATCGAATGTTTGAGTGCCAACACCTGATAGCTGAGAACAAGGGTTTTGTTCACTCGTCATTAGATTCAAATCATGTGAGCAAAATGGCTCAAATCTAATAAGCCGCCCTGCTGCACAATATTTTTATTGTAGTTCCTCTAGCCAGTTGACGATATGTATATATTTACATGCCACTGTATTACTGACCCCGAAAGTGGTTGAAGCAGTGTCTAAAAAAACGTAGGCTCCTTATTCCGTCTGATCAACCAAGAAGTCCACTTCTGAGCCATCGCACAGCGAGCTAAAACAATTCGGTTTTACCATATTTGGTTGTCGGTCTGTGGAAGTCCGCTCAGTTCGATCATCTTCTGGCGCAATAACGTGTCTCAGTTGACTTTTCAGTCAAGTAGCTTTAGCTGATTCGGTTGCACTTACTTGCGCATGGTTTCCAAATAACTTGCACAACCTTTGACAACCGAAACTGTAGACGAGAGAGAGGGATCGCAGCAAATAACAATGACACTTTTTACAGATATGGCCTCTTATTTTCTTTGTTACAGACCTTGAGCCTCCAGAATAAGACATTACTAATTGTCCACCAAGAGAGCCCTCGTAATAGCAATTTTGTGGACTAATTCGTATAACGCAGGGAAATATAGGGGTGAGTCTACTGTGAGTCACCTATTTGAAGAAATGTCGAGAAACCGAAGAATAGGTGTTAACTTGAGTATGTGACTGGTGATTTTCCAGAAGACATTCAGCAATCTACGCCCCTCGGCCAGAAAATTCGTTTGCAGCGATGTTATGCATTGCTTACTCTTTCAGAGAAATCAGCCGGTTTTCGGATACCAAAATACCGAAAGATTTGGCGACAACTTAGATTGTTTAGGTCTTATATCGATACACAACGTGAATAGTGTAGGATAACAGACAATGTTGTATGAAGATCAGTCGTGCTGAATAAAACTTGATTGAGCTGGGCTGGGTTTAGCGCGCGTATCTTAAAAGTGACCACTGAGTCTGAGCCATATGATGTGAACAAAAGTACGTCTTCTTAGATGGCCATTCGGGGGATGCCTAAGATCATACCTCAGTCAAAATGTCAAAAAAGTGTCTTATCTTTATAGATGGGGTAACTAAATGACTCAGCGCTGCTAATAGAATGTTGCTGAAGCGTTAGAAAGATAGTCTCTTCTGTTTTCTTCTCCAGTACAACCTATATGAGCACAATTCACTGCAGTCAGCCGTTTGACATACCTTTTTTCCTATTGCTTTCCTCTCGCTACAGGCATACCGTCTTGAGCCATTATTGATGCGACACTACTCCCGCATCAGCCCCGTAGTACTGCCCACAGTTAGTCAATTCTTTTCGAAAAAGACACGTAGACGGATTGCCAGTATGAACGCAGAAGGTTCTGAGTGCACTCTGTCAGCAAGTTCCACATCGGGATCTATGTGTACGGATTCCGTGCTGTTTGGTGAAGGCTCCTCGGACGGACATGTATTTTTCAATGAAACTCCGCAAGACCTACCCGGACTGTCTGATTCTAATACCGATAGTTCGGATGACGACAGTACATCATTCACTGAGGATTGTTTCTCTAACCGAGTAAGGCAATACGATTTTTCGTTTCTATGATAACAACTTGTCCAACGTATACATCAAAATGCGGCGAGGTCTTATTCTTTATGGAACTGTTAATGCCATACGTATCACTGCCATTTTAAGAACCGCGAACAGCATATTTGTACAGGTCTTTTGTTCGGAAGTATATCCCGTGCGCATCTAGATTGCGCTTGGTTGAATTTGGAATTGAATTAATTCCCTTCCATATACTCCTGAAGTCGCACAATGGCTATCGTTTGTACAATATCGAAATGGCTCCAGATTTCGACACGAACGAGATAGGATAATCTATGCAAGAGTTCATTTTTTTGTGGTTCGTATTCCGAAAGTTGAGTTGTCTCCAGATGTTCATGGTTTATATTTACGATAGAAAGGCAGGGGATTAAAGAGATATTACGCAAGTTATGTGCTAGAGAAAGGCAGTGCCTTATGGTATTGACCGATTATTGAACGGGTTTTAGACACAGCATTCAACTGTCGTCAATCGTATAGTTGTGTGGGATTTTAGTTATTTTTAATATTTTATATTATTATACTATGTTTTATATTTATATATTATATATTTATCTTATACTATATTTTACCACCTCAGGAATTCTGTTCCGAGTATGTGAGTGGCCTTTCTCGTAGATTCGATTTGCCATTCACTAAAACGAATTCACTTCACGAAGCTTAACCTCGACTTAGATTGCTTGCTTCCACAAGCTGAAGGTTTCATTGGCTGAGAATACAAATGCGATGCCAGCAATCTCAATCGGTCCTTTGGTCTTTTGGAGTGACAAGAAAGTTGGTCGAGTCATAGTCCCAAGAAACTTTCTGTACCTCCATTTACAGCGTCTTAAGTTTGTAGTTTGCATAAGATATCGATCGAAGTGACTCACATGGGCTCACATTTTCATCGATAAATTAACATACTGTTAGAGGTCGAACTATCGGAAGTACGAGTTTATAAAGCTATCAAACGGATTGTCACGATAGGATAAGGTCGAAACAAGTAGGTTACAACTCTTAATGTTGAGAGGTTTTGGTGACAATTTAAACATGCACAAATATGCTGCTAAGATGTCCCAGAAGATGCGCGATCGCGTCCACTTGGCTGGGCGCCGAGAAATCCCTGGATGAAAAATTCCCGGTCATTACCAAGGTAGAGTAAAATGGGAAAGGCAAATGGATTGTAAACATTTCGTTACCGTGCGAGCAGACAAATCCATTCAGCGGACTGACGATGCCTTGGATTGTAAACATTTCGTTACCGTGCGAGGAGACAAATTCATTCAGCGGACTAACGATGGCATCTCAGATGTTGACGAAGCGTTTGCCAGCCACTTGACGAGCTCGGCAAACAGATCAACCGCTACCTGACAAACAGGCAATTAAACTACCCTACCTAGGAAGTTTTAGGTATATTGAGAAAGGTATATTGAAAAAAGGCGAACTTTTCAACCTTAACGAGAGCCAAATATCCACTGACGCAGAGGCCAAGAACGGTGACGATGAGGATTTTTCCAGACACTTCCACTAGCCCAAATAATTGGCGATTCCACTAACGACAAAAACGACTCGGGTGTCACAACTGTTTTTATAGAGAAATTTCTTATCCGTTTTTTTACTTTTTCTCCGAGTTCTCCACCAGTGTCAAACAGGAACATCTGAAATCTAAATTTACACATGAAAATACCGTTTCCTCCTCAGTACACAGCATGGCAAGAGCGGTGGTGCTGTTTTGACACCCTCCAAGAAGGAACTGACATCCATTTTGCCTCCTTGCTTGAGAACATTGCTTCCCCAGAAGTAGAACCATTAGAGAATGACTAACACATGAATGGCTGTGTTCGCAAAGTCAAGACTGGTAGTCAAGACTGATAGTCTCGACCGCAGACTGAGGTTCAATATTCGTAACCCCTTAACTGTGATTTTTGTCGTTATCCACTGTGATTTGAAGGCGCATCAGCACATTGGAAGAAGCCAAATACGACAGACCGCCGCCAACCTGACTGTACTGCACCGCATCGACAGACCGCCGCCAACCTGACTGTACTGACTGTACCGCAGCGCTTGCCATAGCAGTATGACACACAGCGTAGTTTTGTTATAGATTTTCATACAACCACAGTAAACTGATACTGAAAGAGTTTTGTTGAAATCATTCGCTCTGCGGAGTCGGGAGACGACTAGTATAGTCACACACATTGGAAATAGCTCAGAAGAATCCAAGGATAGCAAGCCTTTTCCGTCCGCTTGTGATTACAGCATGTTAGTGGGCTTTTATATCGCTATCAAACACGAAACGAAAATAGAGTAAGTGCACGTGTGATAGACCGGCATAAACGGGCATTGGTACTGATGAGGTTATCTCAGGCCCATTGTCGCACAAAAGTAATGGAGGCTGTAGCTACGGCAATCTAGCTGCTAAACGCTATAAAGCCAGAGATGGCTGACTACAGTCATCGCGATTTGACTAAAATATGGATGGAATAAGGTTTTGCATGGGATTTGCGGCGGATGACACGCGTTCACATCACGCAACATTGCATTACAGTATTGCAACCGGTGGTAGAACAAAAAAAGCATTGGAATTTCATTTATCAGGAAATCGATCTCCCGGATTGAGACCGCTAGGGGACAACTGATGTGTTTCGAGAGTATTTTGGTTGGCGCAGCTCAGTCTTGTTTCTTAGCTAGGACAATGCTAATGTTCTCCCCATTCACCATGGGGAGAACAACCTCAGCATTCCTAACCGCACAAGGTCGCCAAACGAACTCTGTTCCCAACCTGAAGATCCAGGTGACTGCCACGCAACTCAGTGGTTCACCAACTATAGTAGTAATTCAGAAAGAGCTTTGATTCATGGACCACCTCACATCATATTCACTGATTAATTGAAGAAGTTTCGTAAAGTAGTAAAGAAGTGCTACATCAGTGCCAACTGGCGTCTACATCCAGTTTCTACCTTTCAACATTTTCACGTTAATGTATTCGGACACTGGCAAATGTTCAACATATGTATACAAATACTTTACATTCGATAACCACCTGACATCGGTATCAATTATCCGTAATGATTTTGTAAGTAAAATACCAATTACCGCACTTGATTTAAATTAGGTTGAATAAGGTATACAGCGGGCTTCAATTTTGGCGTCAATCGGTGGGGTGATGAAAAACTAACGGATTCTTAAAAAAACACGGGAGAATTCTATCTTCAGTTGTACAAGTCAGATGTAAGAATATTATGCAACTGAGACGTTTGATCAAATCGCACCAGAGTCTAAATTACTAATGATGAAGTACGCTGCAGAATTTTACCCATATTCGAAGTGTTAACAGGCGTGTTAACAGCAAACGTTTTGGTGGCATCGCTATGCAACTGAACGTGTCATGACAGATGGGGTTTTCGCCAGCATTGTGGAATGTGAGGCTGGTGTGCTTTGCTGACGACCCGAGGCATGCTGGAAAAATGTAAAACCACTCTAGTGGTGGTCACATACCTCAGCGGATTATGATGTTCGGTGAAACGATGGATGATCTGTAGTTACCGGATTGATAGGCGATTTCGATTAAGTACGATAGATACTATTCTACAAGACAAGCTCTGATTAGGCATCAAAACTTGATGTGAAACAGGCAACTAAATCGATTTTCAATAAGTACTCCATCAAGATCTATTATGTTCGTGGGACTGTAGAGAAGTAAAATCCTACGGCGTCACATAAATAGTCGACAAACGTATTCTGCGAAGAATAATAGGAAAAAGAGGTCAGTTTACGCGCCTTGCAGCTTATTCGTTTGCGTGTTCTGAATGTACGCACTGTAACACTCAAAGGAAGTTCTGATGGTTGTGAACGGGATAAAATTCAAACTAGAAAAGGAGAATAGCAGTTTTCTTCGCCGTGACATTCGAAGCACACTATTCTGAGCGTGTAGGAGACACCTGTGGAAAGAAGCTGGTACTCATAGTATTCCGAAAAAGAAAAACATAACGCTAATCTAGTGGTAACCTTAGCCGGCATGTTTAGTATCAATAAAACGGAATTCACTCTCACGTGACAATCCCAATACACATGTCGCAGTCCTCACCACGTACGCACGCTAGAGCAAGAACCAACAAGTCATTGTTATCGATATACACCCGGATTCCCAACGCAATTTTTTCTCACATGAAGTTCCATACAAGCCTGGACTGGATCGCCTTGTAAAAGGTAGGCACGTATAAATGAGATTTTCTAACACACTGCACGTTTCGCTCAATAAAACAATACTGCATGTAAACTACGCTACGCTTTTTTAGACCTTCAGAAACCACGGACGTAGTATTCTGAGTAAGCAAATTTGCAGGCAAAGACTGGTCAAAACAATGAGGTTTTAACCGAGCAATCCGTTGGGACTGAGCGAGCTTTTGCTGACTAAGCGATATCTAACCGGTCTGTTCTCTTTAGAAAACTTGCCCAGTGAAGAAAGCCTGTCAATATAACGGCTTTTTGTATTCTTTGATTTTCAGGAAAGCCCAAAATGGCTGTACACTCTTTCCACCCTTAGTTAACTTCATGATCGACGAAACAATGATACAAACACTGAAAGGTCGTAAAAACTCTGGTGTCCAAACAACTGATGATTAAATTCTCGTTAGTATGGAGTATGCCGACATCGCTCTCGTCTTCGAGGAGAAGGCGCAGAGTTATTTTTGGATAAACTGACCTTTGGCACGTGTGTTGTACCCATAAAAAGTGAGCTCATGCCACTAGACATGCAGTTGGTGAACAGACCACTAAAAATCTAAATAAGGGTAGTCGAGGTTGTGGAGCAATTCATGTATCTTAGGAGTTGTAGAAATACCAACTGTAGTGTGACAAGTGAGGTTGGTGCACGGATTTTCGAAGCTAAGGTTGAGCCACCCATGGAGACAAAGGCTACGGTGTGGACTTTTTGTTTTATGGCTGTGGAAAGTGAATTCCACGAGAAGCCGAAATGAGGCGCCTTCAGATGTTTGGCAACCGTTACCTCAGAACCATAGCCCGTGAGGGATGGCACCAGCGAATCTGTAGCGAAATAATTATAAGACGGGTGTTTGGTTGCGCAACGGGACTGCAGTCGACGAATGTGTAAATATCAAAGGCTGGGGTCTTTGGGTCATATATCGCTAACATCAAATCGTCATTTGCCGAATAACATGCTCTTCTCCGCTGTCCACTGAGTGGTACAAGCGGAGAGGTGGCTAACTCTTGTCCTGGTAGAACGGTGTGAAGTAGATTACGAATAATCTGGGTACTACCGTGCAAATAGCTCTCTAGGATGAAGTCTATTGGTGCACAGGTGGTGATAGCCATAATACAAATCAGAAGGTGAATGTGCACTAATAGAAGTTCTTAACATGGTTGCGACACGTATAAAAATGAATACAATGCGAAATGGGAACAAGTCAAAAAGGAACTTATCGTATGTGAGAGTACCTTGGTGAAAGTCCGGACGGCGGTAACGTGTTTTCTCCGCAGTTTGGCTGCTACACTTGTTCCATGATTGTCCGTGGACTTGTGGAGAGGTTGACGTCCTGCTCCCTGCGCGCGCGCGAGTCTGTGTCCTGACTAGGTCCGGTTTCCCTTTATGTAGGTCACAGTGCGTGTATGTGGGCGCGTCGGCACATGAGAGGTTGCTACGCTGACTAGGCGGTGCAGACAATCGATGTCCGATGGGTCGGCTTAATGCGACGTGTTTGTGTGTGTGAGAAAAAGACAAGCCTCGCGATCCAGTGAGCGACTTTGAGTTGAACAGTCAAGTATGGGGGTGACCGGGTCGCTACAAGTCCACCGTGTGCCTGGTTGGAGACGCTGCAATCTATGGCTGCGTTCTTCTTGTCAGGTTCTCTCCAGACTACCTGAGGAGCGCCTGGAGATCTAAGCAACGTGGAACAATTAACGTAGAGCTGCACTCGCCCATTTCTTATTTCGAATTCAGATTTTCAAATAAATTATGGCTTACGGCGATGAAGCATCAGTGTCGAACGCTGTCGATGGTGAGGATAGCAGAATAGTGTTGCCGAACCCGAAGGTAGATGCCATTGGCTGAGAAAAACACTGAAGTCAATTATTGCATCAGATAGCCACTAGCTTCAGGGGAAAAAGCATACCCACAACTCGAATTTAGTCGACTGACCAGGTTGTGCATAGCTTCTTAAAAAAAGATTATTGGGACAGAATCAAACTGTTCTGTCCCTCAAACCGAGCTTGGGTTAAAACTTGCTCAATCTGCTTTGTAAAACTTGTGCTCGAGCATCGTTATTTAAATATAAAATGAAGTCTTTTGCGCGTGGCGATGGTAATATTGAGGAAAACTTCGTGTTAACAGCGCTTACATTAACTTGTATACACCGCACATACTCCCAGCAAGAACTGTAAGCACCTCAAATTCGACTACAATCTTTGTAATCATTTCGACTTATGTAGGCTCATCGCAAATTGGATATAAACCCAGTATTCGATCCATTGAAAACGCTTGGAATTGACCGAACAGTCATCGTTACGGAAAACCGTCGGTAGACAGTCTGTCCGATACCAAATACGCTGAAATAAATGAAGCTGCGGCGAAATATCTCAATCAGCTTTGAGTTATAAACAATGTACCAAGGGTATGTCCCGATCACGGAAAAATGGGAAAACGGATGATACAACAAGGTAGTAGACAGGTTATAATCTCTGGGTCTGTTTCCAGTTGATGAGGGGAACATTTGAGGCCTGATTAAGACTTTTCAGATGGTCAAACATCTTTCAATGTTACACTAACCACACGACTGGATTGCATCTCAATTAAAACTAGGGCTAGAGATGGTTACCGATCAAATCTCTTTCCTGCACAAGTATTCATTGACACTGGGCAAGTCAACAATGCAATCACGTTTGAACAGCTATTCACTTGCCAAAGTAAGTTGTTCCGCGTCACTACCCAAATTTACACAGATTGAAAGGTTCGCCAAAGTGCTATGAGGAAACTATAGCCCAGAATATCAATGGCCAGTTTGTTCAGTTTTGGTCGCTTGCTAACCTTAAACGTGCGCAAGAAGCCATACCAAACAAGTAGTTTTCACCACACACGACAATACTAGAGAAGGAACTCGGATGTATTTGCATTAAAACACTAATCCGGTATCTTTCAAAGAATAATTTAAGTATCTTCTCACGAAGCTGTTTTTTCCACGCGTTTCAGGTATACAAGCGACTCAGCGTGGTTGCGGACGCTCAGATATACAAACAACACAAGTCAAAAACATGTGAGTTTAGCCATACCGAAATTGTAATCTGTTGCGGAAACTAAAAATCAATAAGATACTTTAAGGCAGCAATATATCATGGGTTTCATGCCGATCACTAAAAGCAACTAGGGCGGATTCTTCAGAATGGGATCCGTTACATAGTGTAACCTCATTCCCATTGCGCTTATAGGTTCAAAACGACTGTGTATTGATCAACCAGAGGGCACTTTCCATGGCGAATGCATCAACTGTTTTTATTCAAATACATGGAGTACTAGGCTTTTTCGGTGAAGTAAACAAAAAATATCATTTGAACGTCGTGGTATTTTGGTACACAACTTTCACGTGTGGAAGTTGGTATACAGTCGTTCCGTCTAACCATTGAAACAGTCGAAATGAACTTGAACCATGGACCTTTCGGTTAGCAGGATGCGCCTTTGCTTATGCATTGGAGAACAATCGACCAGCCAGGGAATGCACTTGATGACAGAACTGAATAACACGATCCACGGTCATCGTTAAAAAAATTAATCACATCCTTGGCCGCACTGCCGTTGAACACCAGGAGAATATGGACTCATACTACCAGGAACCCGTAAGTTTCGCACCGCACGGAATTTACAGGAGCACCACAGAAAAAAAACGCGATTTGCTTAAGTGTCCAGTAAGCCAGTGTAAAAATGTCACAGCTGTATCTGATTTTTAACTAGTTTAGGGCTGCTTGAATTTTCACCGATCGGCCGAGGTGAAACAAGCCCAAATTCTCCTCTGCTTTAGTGAAGAAAACTTCGGCTCGCTCAGTTCAAGTCAAAGCGAGTGAGGCTTTATGATACCTGGGCTAAATTTCCAGTATATCGACCCGATAAAAGACCTCTAAATGAATTAAAAATACCTGAAACATCTTCGATGAACGCCTGATTGTTACGCAGGTCTTTGCCGTTAAGGGACCAAGTAAGAAAGTAAAGTATTGGGCTGGAAATCCCGAGGCTTGAGATTTTATGCTTCGAACGAGTGCACAAGGTAGAGGTGGTTTCATTGAAGACGGCAGACAACGGAAAGAACTAATGGACCTCGAACAAGCGTTCAGATACTACCCAGTCAAGCAACACATTCCTTGGAATTCCAATTCAGCTGGAAACACTTTCTAACGACAGTCGTCCTGCCCACACAGTAGTGGGATAAAAACGTTGAAACAATAAATTAAGTGGAGGTTAAACTAGCAATAAAAAGCCATTGGGTGAGAATGTGTGGGAGAGAAAGCGTTCTCACTCTTGTAGACTTTACAATGAATAGGTTGGATGTATGGTCCCAAAAAGGGCTATTTGACAGTACACCTAGACTTCACAGCAAATATGAGAATAAAAACATTGGAAAAAGTTAGAGGTGTTGACCATTGGATAGGTTCTCCTGACACTGACCAGCGAAGACAGAACATTTCGGTAGTTCGGGAATGTGGGGTGAGAAGGCGTTCACCAGGCCCGTTAGAAACTTCATCCGGTATGGTTTCCAATTGCAGATGTGATAAGGAGCGCGAGTGCAGCAGCCTGCAGGTAACAAACCAGCTTATTTGTTCTGAATCAAGATGTGCATCTTAGATACGATGAAAAGAAGAGAAAACGGAACTTCCGAGGATACTGGGGTTAACCGGCGACGGGAAAATGAATAGGCCATTTGCTTTCATGAATTGCGTGATGTGGCCTTCAGTCAGCTTATGGGGGACTGGTCCATGACGTACATCGGTGACGATTGCTAAAACAATCGTCAACACTGACAAATGCACTAGTGTGGTAAATGAACAACAGGCGAATAGCCTAGGGTTTGTGTTCACTGCTGTAGTGAACTAGATAAGCAGTAGCTTCAGGTGAGGAGGAAGATTGACCATATGCAAATGGTTTCAACTATTGGTACGACAGCATATTCATCCCATGACTCAAGCGCACTCTTTCGAGCAACTTTGAGAGAATAATAGTTCGAGCGAGTAGCCCAAACTTTGTTGCCCCTTTCTTTGGCACCATTATGTTCTTAGCTATTCAACGAAAAGATGTGTAATAAAGAGAACAGACTGTCCCGCACAATTTAAGCAAAATGAACGATAGATGGGAATTACCAGACAAATCACAGCATGTTCTCGCCCAACCCTGATCATGGATTATCCGGGACATTACTTGAGTAACGTGGTAAATGGATTTTATGTGACTGAAATGTCGCGGTCGAGCTTATCTAGTTATCTATCCTCGAGCTATTTAGGTTCAAGGGTAAAAGTACACAACACAGATTCGTCGTCACACATCTAACTCAATTTTCATCACATTTATCCAAAGAATTAGATGTTGAGGATCGCATCGAAATGGAACTTACTGAGGCCTAGCAATTACCGTTTGATTAGTCCTTAAGCTTGCAGATCTCTGCGAGCCCTCCACTTTTGGAAGCATATTCCTTATTCCAACGTAATTCTTAATGAGTGGAAGGGACAACATTTAAACGTAGGTGTGGATGGTTAAAGCAAGATCAAAATTACAAGGCTTGCCATAGTATCAACAATTTCTAAGGGGCTCAGAGAGAAGAATAACCGAAAAGTCGCGTGGACTTTCCTGTCGAGATTTAGTCACTCGAGGGGTCAGCCAACGTGAGATCATGTGATGTGAATCCTGTAAAAACCAGATAGACGGCCAACTGGCCACAGTCTGCAGAAAGTCCAAAAAGTAGGAAAACCCGTCGTTCAAGTCATAACCTTAAGTAGCAGAATGCTATCTGGTGAACGGTGTCTTATTTCCAGTCGATGGGAAGTTTTCCTTGGGGTATAGTTTCGAGGATAACCTCAAAACACAATGTCCAAGATAGGAAATGCAACATGCCTACGAATAGCGAAGCTAGTGAAGTCCTTTACAAACCGTCATGATATCCTCGGGGCACAAAATCTCAGGTAGAAAAGATCGGAGCTGATAAGGCCACCAGAAACGACATGAAAAGACCTACTTGAACGAATCAAAACAGGTGCAAAGAGGAAGCCAGAAAACCCGAACATCTCTTGTACATAAGCACCAAATATAACACATAGGCTTGAGAAAACAATCGATTTGTAATTAATTCGGATGCAGGACTTGAATGCCAGAGTTAAAAAAACTTCCTAGATGTTTAGAACAATACCTAATTCTCTTCACATCCATCGCAACACCATCTACTCTGTCAAGAAAGTCGAAAGGATTGTCAACAGGAGATGCATCAAGTCTGTGTCCGAACCTAGCGGAGTGTTGCAATTCTGTTGTTTCCAGGTTCCTTGCGGTACCGAAGCCTGGATAAGTGTGAGTCCTTTTTGGACATCACCCAAGGCAGTTACACTTTTTCCAGAGGCCCTTTCCTGTCTGTTATTGGCAAACTAAATCCACACAATCAAATTACTAATCTGTCTGCAAGATCTCATTAGCGCTTGCGTTTCACCTGATGCGTAACAATGATAGTGATGTTTACAACAAACACGGAATTCCACATGATATTGGACATACCAATGAAACACAAGTCCGTTATTTCCTTGCAACTTTCCCGCGTTGAATGTATTGTGCAACGTGTTGTACAACTCCATCTACCTAGGTTGGAAGACAGGTTCAACAGATTAAAATTTGCACGGCCTACTGAGATTTGTAGCTCATCTGTTGGAAGAACTTATCTCTGACATCCTTTTCTTCATCGCCGCACTCTAACCAGTACTGCGGTATAACTGCATCACGAAGCAACACGAAACGTATTCGTCCTCGCGAAATGTGAATATCACTCTTAGATGACGGAATTCATGATGTGATTGGTTTGTCTGACACCGTGAACAATGTCGCAGTAACTGTCCTGACTGTGTCGATCGGACCATTTCCGCTCAGTTAGCGCCGCGGACGTTTAAAACCGGAGATCCTTGCTTGGTTGTGAACGGTTTAGTGTCACTGCGTCGAGTGTCGAGAGAAGACCTTTTCCGCAGTAGCAATAACTCAGGCGTTTACATCAAAAGACTCAGCTGTTGTACAGTTTCACAAATCATTCAATTTGTAATAGGGTCTCAGAGAACTTCTCCTACTGTCCAGAACTAAGAATCCGATAACTGACCCTAAGACATAGGTGACGTCCTAAGCAGATCAGCGAAGATATTGGATTGTCATTGCTTTCCATCATAACTGACTGGTTGGTAGCAAAAATTAGTTCATGCTCTGCTGATCTGTTCGCCGGGCTTCTGGATGGTTAATGTGCGGTTGCTTCTCTCGCTTTTGTGATGGGATAGTTTCAGAAGGATCGTCAAGTTTATTGCATGGCTCAAGAAATAACAGGTCAGATCAGGTGAGAATTCAAGATATCCACATACGCTTCAATCACGGAATAGTTTCAATTGACTACATGATTTTCATTTCAATGAACACCGGTTGCAGTGAAGTGAATGAACTCACTAATCTGAAATCTGAATAATTCCTGGTCAAAAGTTTATTTTTTACTTCACTACTTATGAAACATGCATACAGATGATCCGAACGGGTCTGGTAGTCGAATTCAGGGTATCCATATGGGATTAGGGCTCAGGTCGTCGAAAATTCAGTTCACACAAGCATTCAGGCTAGAAGAACAAACTCTGTGTCTGCACACAACTCAACTTGGATTTTATTCACTCCCACTAGACTGATGTGTGACAATCACGTGAACGATGTGCTAACCCAATTTTTTCACCTACCCCCAGTTAAGCTCTTCAGTCGTCTCGTCACGAGACGGTCGTCCAACGTGACCAGTTTGGGGCCTTTGCTTACACCGCAACGAAAGAAACTGGAATGTGGTGAGAAGAGGCTGCTCTATCGCGTAGACTACGAATGGCAAAAATCGTTTTCCCCCTGGGCCGTGCTCGGAGCGCATTACAGCTATTGGGATAGTGAAGAAGTGGCATTCTTCATGCTGTACCAAATATTTGGACCTCCGGATACATCAAACGATTAATCCACCACACTAGTTCATTAAAAAAAATCATTTATGAAACCCACTGTAATTAACACACTGTTATGAACTGTTTCTGCTCAGGACAGTTTCTCACCGAAGCAGTCCTCCGAAAGTTTATTTTTTACTTCACTACTTATGAAACATGCATACAGATGATCCGAACGGGTCTGGTAGTCGAATTCAGGGTATCCATATGGGATTAGGGCTCAGGTCGTCGAAAATTCAGTTCACACAAGCATTCAGGCTAGAAGAACAAACTCTGTGTCTGCACACAACTCAACTTGGATTTTATTCACTCCCACTAGACTGATGTGTGACAATCACGTGAACGATGTGCTAACCCAATTTTTTCACCTACCCCCAGTTAAGCTCTTCAGTCGTCTCGTCACGAGACGGTCGTCCAACGTGACCAGTTTGGGGCCTTTGCTTACACCGCAACGAAAGAAACTGGAATGTGGTGAGAAGAGGCTGCTCTATCGCGTAGACTACGAATGGCAAAAATCGTTTTCCCCCTGGGCCGTGCTCGGAGCGCATTACAGCTATTGGGATAGTGAAGAAGTGGCATTCTTCATGCTGTACCAAATATTTGGACCTCCGGATACATCAAACGATTAATCCACCACACTAGTTCATTAAAAAAAATCATTTATGAAACCCACTGTAATTAACACACTGTTATGAACTGTTTCTGCTCAGGACAGTTTCTCACCGAAGCAGTCCTCCGTCTGTCCCAAACTTTAATGTACTTAGCTTTCTGTGTTATATTTTTTGAAAAACTAGAGAAAAATCTAACTTAATCCACTCATCAGACATCCTTCATTACAGACAAGTAGTTCTTATGCCTATAAAGGCACAGTGAATTCTCATGCAAAAGACTGTAAAAGTAAAGTAGGCACCATTTTTACTGCGACATAAAACTATGAAATTACATTCGGCGGGAACTACCATCTATACGAAAAGACAAACTAGTGTCCTGCTGAGATGAAATCATCAGGTTGGCTTTACTGGGTAGCTCTTCAATGTCTGCCACGACATTGCAGGTCGTTGAGCAGAAGACTGACAACTCCACAAATATGCTCACCTGCATACTTATTTGGTCTCCACAAGAGACTCCCTGAAACTCAACTGAATCTCTCGTTTACGATGAAGAAATACAACATAACCGAGTGTTCTGGTGTGGACTAGGCGCCCATGAACTTGATAGCTGCGTCTAATTAGACGACAGCTTCAGCCACTCGAAAGCTTGGGACCCAGTGATGAGTAGGATCTCGCGAAACACCAAGGAACAATCTTTATCTGATTTACGGGAAGTCATCACCAGTGCGCACCTCACGAATATATCGGGAGGTTCGAATCCGCCACTGCCCTGCCAGATGCTGTTCACAAAGCCAGACTGAAGACGAAAGCTTAATGACCGGTCGATGACATGACTGCGGGATCTGATAGCCTAGGTCAACCAACTAATTATACTGTTACATGGATCCAAGGTCATTATATGGATGCACCTTTCTAACCGTTGAAATGCCACACTCATCGGTGACCCCCTAGTAGCTTGCGTTTCAGAGACTGCCTGACCTATTCGCTGGTTTTCGCTTCGGACATCTTTCTTTTAGTCAGAAATTACCACAGGGCTCATGCGGCAAACGTGGTGTTGATGGTGATGAAAACATCATGATCTAGCGCGAATGGTAAGAAACCAATTAGGCGGACAACTCGACCAAGAGTTATTACATAATGGTCTGGTTGACGCCACTCCTAAAAAAATGCAGCTACATTTCCCCTAGTTGATGGGGTTTCAGCCAAAAGACGACTAATCTGTGATGCAAGTTTTTTAGTACGACACAGAGTTGGTTGTGGATGATAACAGTCGTTCTAAGAAACATCTAGGTGACTGTTGATTGAGATCACAACGCCTTAAAATCAGTATGGAAGTTCCTCACAATGTTAAAACGAGAACATACCAAATGTAGATCAACTTTGCATCCAAGTCTATTGTGTTGGTATGGGTCACGAGGTTTCAGAGTGCAAATTGAAAACTGAAGACTTATCAGGGTGACTACCGAAAAGGAACATAGATGCTGTCTGTGAAAAAATTCGTCAGCAAATAACCGGCACGGTAACATTGTTTGACCGGCACTCGTAGAAATAAGGAAATCTTGATGCCGATATCCTGCATGATGGCTCAAAAGTGAAAGTCTTTTAATCGTTTGTTGCAGCAGCAAGCTGACCATCTGGTTCGTGATCCAGATAAATGCCATTTTAGAATTAATGCGCAACAACCAATGAGGGTTGAACATGAAACGCGTAAATTCATAAAGATCCGCATATGATGTCACCTTAGAATGTGAGCTGGCCTTGAAGGAACGGGTCATTATCTTGGCAAACTACAAGTATTCGGAAACTAACTTGGCGTCAAGGAGAAGCGAATCCCAGCCGAATGGCTCACTTATATCACAAACAAGACTCAACTCGGATTTACTTGAATCCATCGTTAACACCAAATCAGTTTGCAACTGAGCGCATTTCGCCTGCTGGGGGCAATTCATAGAAACTCAAGGAATATGCCTACTGGTGAGTCTCATGAAGAAAAAAATCGGTAGTGAGATATCAAAAAGTTTTCAGCAAACCTACAAATAACGTGCTATACCTAGAAGCAGATGGTTTTCTTTTCTCAGCTTGAGATAGTTTTCAGACTACATATAGCGGAGGGTAATGAAGACCAAAGAGTTCATGCTGTGATTTGACACAACGCTTTGAGGAAAAATAGCATGATAAGCGATAGGATAAACAAAAAAGCTCATGCTGCCTTCGGTACCTACCTGCCATGCTACCCGACGGAAGCATGCGGACTGAGATACTGTCAGGTTGCTCAATTCTAGACAGGAGTAGTCAAGACGCTGAGCTGAAATTCGCGCCCTAACCACTGAGATGTTTCGATGGAGAGTTCGGTGAGTCAAATAATAGGAGAATACGAATAGTGAGAACGATTTTATCATTCAACAACGATGATTTTTATTACAAAAATAAAATCTACGAGAGGATAAAAAAATAAATGCTGGATAAATAAGACCGAATTAACTCAATGCGTCCGTTAGGCCTTGAACTCGATCACTGAACAGGTCTGGCGACGCTGGCCGCCACACAAACGGGAGAAGACAATGCAGCTGAGTGAATCGTCGCTTGTTCCAAAAGTGGTAGTTTCTCGAAGGTGTCAGAGAACAAACCCTACGGAGACTCCGACGAGAGATTAAGTAGGGCTGATGGGTTGCAAACTCCAATGAATTGCTAGTCTGTTCACTGGTAGCAACATCGCCCACAGGGAGAACTTCGTTGAGAGTGGTTGCAACAACTGGACGGAGAGGCGAGATTAGAATGGTGGAAGCTTTTGTATGTTTTCTGGCATGTTGCGCGCGGCGCCACCAAATCTGAATGGTTCTTGCAGCACCTACTCGTGCACGGTACCGTCTGTAACCTGAGGGGTAAAACAGCTCGGTGAGATAAGAATAGGCATACAAAAAATAGCTCGAGGCCGCGGTAACAGTGCTGTCCCGAAAACTGTGGGGTAAAGTCGGATTGAATGGCATATGGCTAGCAGTTCAGAGTGGAAGCAACGCCATCCTACTCGTTGTTAACCCCAACTCAACTTTTCCTGAGAAAACATTGTTTAGTCCGATACAACCACCATTTGAATTATCGATAATTAGCCTGCAGATGCTAACGATTTCCGATCTGTGATAGTCGAAGGTACGAAAAGATTACCGTAAAAACAGGAAGTGAGGTTTTCGTTAAGCGAGTACAATCAGATTCATGGTCACAGTCGTTAAGGAAAGAATCAACAGCAAGCCAAACGACAATCACCATTACTAAAAAGAATTAATATTACCATCCTCTGCGATGGTGGATTCTTTACGAAGCAAATGATGCCGGCAAGTGCGACAGACCTGGAAAAAAGATGTCGACTGGACCCATTTAATGGTGTTGTACATCAGTTGAACTGATGACAATCCAACTGCACGAAGTATCCTAATCGAATTGCAGCAATTCGTTCAACCAGGCGGTTGAACTGAGTGCGCCTACGTCAAACTGGCTCGTTTTGATTCGTTGTATCGTCCGAATGTCAGCACAGCTACTGCATTCAAGAAAAAGTGAAGTAAAATAGACGGCAAGTAACAACAGGCATAATGCACTATAGAATTCAAGCAGTGTTGACATAAATGTAAACGTGACTTTTGTGGAACCCTAATTTACTGGACGAACTCAATACACCAATTAGGACGTCAAAACAAAGTTGTCAAGACATAGTTTGACCAACATCGTACGCATCGGGTCAGTAGGAAGAATCAGGTAGTCTTCGTTAAATTCCTAGTATCGCTCTGCAAATATGACACAAAACCACGTGAGCAAAACACACTGACAAACTCAGCGAGGAGCATCGTGATGCGCTAGCTTTGACTGTGCTTGGTAAACACAGCAAGTCAGACACAGTTACCTTCAATGTGAATAGAAGTGAACGGAGAATAAATACTAGTAGTATGTCATTGGAGCGCTTTGAACTCATCCGGTGGATAGTAACCCAGAAATCAACACAGGAAGTATTGACAGCAGGCCTGTCCCAGCATTTAGCCTACGGACATTCATGATGAATACATCAGGGAAAGGTTACTCACTTCGTTGAATTATGCTCGCGGCTGTACGACGGATCAAGTCGGATAAATTCTCTAACCGGTCTGCTTGGTCAGGTTTCAAATGTAACCGACTGTGTCCGAATTGGCGAAGCAAGCACTGCAACTCTCGTCGAACATCAGGAGCCAGCCCTCCAGAATGGTACAACTGACGAATAGTGACGTCAGAAACGGTGCCGAGACCCACGATTAAGATGAATAAAGCCTCACATCGCTCTGCACTCAAAAGGCAACAGATGGAAAAAGTACTGTGAGATGCGAAATTCAGTTGGGTCATCTTTGCAGCGAACAATCAGTCCGTATAAAAGGATTATTATAACAGATACTGGTTACTACCAACGGTGCAAGAGTCTCCGAAGACTGGAACGATGGAACGCATTAAAGCAGAATGAAACACTCAAGAGTGTGAAAGGCTTCTTAGGATTAAATGTCAGTGCATCAAAGTAGGACTAGCAACCACTAAGCGTTGACAACCAGAGATATGGCAAACGGAGGCAACTTACACGTACCGTGCAGTGTTGGTCTGCATCAGATGTGATGGGATAAGGTTAATCACATCAAATATAGTAGAATAGGCTCAGACTCTTGAAAGTACGACTATCCGATCATTAACGACAGTTTACGGTTGGAAACAGTGGATCTAAAAAAAAACTCACCGCTATCGCCATGCAAAAAATCCGAATTGCCACGGGGGGATTGGAAGACAGATGTAGTCAGCTTCAAAAACCAACGCGGCAACGAGTTTGAAATACCGTATGACGACCTTCCTTGCTGAGGATTTGGTGAAAGCTTCCAGAAGACGCCATACTTCCGGATAAACTCCACATACGTGTATCTGCCAAATGTACGGAAAACTATCTATCATAAGTAAGAAGCACTGAGTTCTTGTAGACAAAAAAAATTATCAAAAATGATGTTGGCGGTTACCTGAGAACGACCAACGGTAGTTGTTCATGTAATTGAGCAAGACGATCGGTTGGAAGCAGCTCACATGCTATCAAAAGGGAAAGTTTCCCCTCCACTATCGTCACTGAAGCTATTAGAAGCTTAATTTTCCGACTGACAACTAAAAGAAATGTCTGAGGACAGACAAGAACCACACACTCTCGGCCTACTGGTTTAGTTGTTGGAGACCCGTCATCTTGCTTAGTTCGTACTATACGGAGTGAGTAATCATCAATCGACCACTTCAATGTGTGCGTAGTTATGTGCGCTCATATTCCTTGTTAACGGTTATATTTGCCGTGACTGAGAATGCCACATGTGACGGATCCACCTCTCAACCAATGTCCTCTATTGGTGCTATTCAAACAAGTGCATGAATTGATCGATATGCTTTCAGACTTCAGCTTTTGTTAGCTTTGTAAGCACAGAAAAGCTTTAAACATAGTGAAGCTGAGTGGTTACCACCCGATGTTAAGAAACCTGAAGAAGAGATGTGCCAAGGCGATCGTCTACATAGTAATACTCACATTGATGACACAGGGACAAGCGTGAACAGTCTAACCAGTCCACTAACGTAGGCGATAAACGGTACAATCCATATCAGTTTGCTCACCATCGAACAGATCAAAAGCTGGTGAGCTATCGAATGCGGGATTTCGTAGAACTATGGAAGCAATGCTTGAGAGAGATCAAAACTGACGTATATCAGTCAATTGGGTTGACTAGCCCTGTCAGAAAACGTGCACAAAACCAAACTCTGTGGAAACTACTGTCGCCTTTTGATGTGAACCTGATGGTGCTTTGGAATAACGGTCACGTACTCACCACCTACATATTATAGAAATTACCATTACTTGTCAGGTCTGACAAGGCAGTTGTGATGGGCGTTTGACCATCGGTGGCTGTTAGATAAACCGATGGATATATGGCCCACAAAACAAGCATTGTGGAAGGCGCTCTTTTTAGGGCAAGTCTCTAATACTCTACTACACGAAGGATTAGGCAGATAAGGCACACCAATGTAACACAAGGGTAAAGTAAAAAAGGATGTTCGGCTAACCTTCTGCTGTAAGACGAGCGCAGAACATGTACTGCCGTCAGTAGTCCACCAGTAACGAGCTGGTCATGGAGGCGGTCGCGATCCACACAAAAAGAAGCCGGGCGCGTTGCAGGGCTGGCTACCGCTTCCATACATGCCGGTGTAAACTGGCAGGAATCCAACAAGTTCGGGCGTAGACACCGCACAAATGAGAGTTGATGGTTTTCCAAGCGAATAAGGAGCGAGTCAACGGCGCACTATGAGATACCACACGGATGAGAACAATATATGTTCGCACTAATTAACTCGTGAGAAATGTTTAGGGTGGAGTGAAGCGAAAAAAGTAAAACTTCCCATGGAAAAGACACTGAATATGAAAGCAGCTCGCGTTGACGGGGGTGGACACGAAAAGTAATAGGGAGAGGGCATTGTTGCGTTAATTTAAGTTTAACTCGGGTTGGTTTCAATCACTCTGACAAAATCGACCGATAAAATGGTGCAAACTTACCATCCGGATTATTCAGTTGGGCGATAATTTCACGAACACCTTGGTTCATGCTTATTTGAGCTCATTACAAAGGAAAATAAGAAAAATCTTGTGATGCTTTAGCTGAGTAAAAAAAATGGTTAGTCTGAAGACGATCGTTGATAGCATTTATTCATCTTACTTAAAAATTACAAACAAGATTATCGAGAGGATAGAACGCCGAACCATATACCGTCCCCAATCACTGGATATCAGACCGGATGGTGGCACCGCTTAAATCTCGGAGGAATATCCCAAAAATATCCCAGGTGACGTAGAACCCTGGACTGTGAAAGTGGAACCACCTACGGCCTTGGAGTTCCACAACTGTGTACATTCTCCCAAGCGCCACCGAGCCTCTGGTCCGGATGACCTCCCACCCGCATAGTTCAAAGATGGGGGTGAGGTTCTCAGTCAGCGGTGGTCTGATGTTTGCTTGAGTTTGCGAAAAAGAATCTGCTCCAGACAACTGGGAAGAGTCGGTGATGGTTCCCATTTGCAACAAAGGGGCTTGTAGTGAGTGTAGAAACCACAGAGGAATCAGCTTGACCCCCGTAGTAAGGAGACTGTTGGCGTCACTGGTGCTGTGCTGCCTCATGGTGGCACGTGAGACACTGACTCGAGAGTAGCAATCAGGATTCCGGTCTGGTAGGGGTTGCGTTGACCAAACCTTCACAGTTCGTCAGGTGCTAGAACAACGTGATACACACAAGCGACCCACAAGTTTAGTATTCCTGGATTTCCCAGACGCATTTAGCTCGGTTCTTCGGTCTGTTCTTCACACACTTGCCCATCAAGGAATGCCCCGGAAGGTCGTGAACATAATAAGCACTTTGTATTTCCAAACCAACGGACGTAGGAGAGTATATGGCGACTTCTCCAGAAGCTTCCTTACACAAAGTGATCTCCATCAGGGATGCCCGCTCTCCCCATTTCTGTTCAACTTCGTATCGATGAAATCATGAGACGAATGCAGGAAGGTATCCGAAACCCCGGTGTTCAAACAGCCTCTGTCGAATATCTCGTCGATCTGGAATATGCAGCCGATATTGTTTTCATCTTCAAAGAGAAGTCGTAGGCGTTTTTGGATGAACCGACCAAAGTCATCCCGTCCTTTGGTATGCACTTTGCACCTACAAAGTGTAAGGTCATGCTCGTGGACGTGCAGTCACTGAACACGCCATTTACAATCCAAGGGAAAACACTCCAAGTTGTAAAGCATTTTACGTATCTTGGAAGTTGTAGTAGTTCTGATTGTAGTATGACAGATGAGGTGACTGCACGAATCTGCAAGGCTCGGGTCGCGTCTGCTAATTTGAGACACCTACCGCGTCAGAGTGGTTTATCTCTGAATCTCAAGGTACCTGTGTATCAAGCTACAGTACGGACTGTTTTACTGTATGGCTGTGAGACTTGGCCTATTTGAGCAGCGGAAATGAGACGTCTTCAGGTGTTCGACAGTCGTTGTCTCAGAACCATAGCTCGTGTGGGTTGGTGTCAGCGAATCCGTAACGAGGCAGTTAGAAAGCGTGTTTTCGGTTGTGTAACGGGTACTTCCATTGAAAAATGTGTCCAGGACCAGAAGCCGCGTTCAGTAGGCCATGTATTGCGCTTGTCAAACCATCGTTAGCCATTCCTGATCCAGAGTGGTGGAAGCTAAGAAGGTGGCAGAGGATATGGAAGAAACTATGAAAAGTCTGGGTGATGTCGGTGCGACTAGCCTTCTACGATAGGGACCGCGTGATCCCCTGCGCCTGGTCGGAGACGCTGCAAGATACGGCGTCTAATCGATATCAGTGGCGTCCTTGTTTCCAGTTTCTATTAATATTGCCTGAATGAGTTTCTGGAGGCGTATGCATCTCGAAATGATTGTGGTAGGCTAGTGCCTTCCCTTCCCTGGTATTCTTTCGTTTACAATAAGGCTTTCAAAAAAATTATGATTGCAGAGCAGCAAAACATCAGTGCGGAACACTAATGTTATGCTTTCGATAGTAGTGAACCGAATGTTCTGTCGGATACTCATAGTGGAAAATTTTCGCTTTTGTCCTAAACTGAAGAAAATACGCTAACTTACTACACACTGTTTACCTCACTGCCTACTTTAGTGTAGCGCAATCGGTATAAAACAGATCAAAAATGACACTTCCAGGCATTCTTTGGAGAACAAATGCAGAGCGATCGCGGGAGGATTTTCAAATGAATGTCAGTACAAGAACGTTTGGTAAACTCAGGACAAATCGGAAGAATCCAAGAAAAGAAATCACAAAAATAGAGTAGCTTGCCAATTAGGAGCGGGAGAACGCAAAACTTTTCGAGTTGTAGGGACAATCATTGCTATTCAACTTGTTCTGACAGATCATACAGGAAGTTTAGAAAGCACCAACAAAGATATTAAACTCAAACAGTCATTGAACGAGTAAAACAAAATGTGCTTCTGACAAAATAATTGGTATTACAAGTGTTTTCGATATTTCATACGATAACTCAAAAAGTAACCCCTGCCGGAGAGAATGATTCTGGTTGGTTCCACAAATATCCTCTGTAGTCGCTTGTTTGATGGACTGCAAACTTAACTCACTTTTGTTTGTCCGAACACACCACAAGAACGTTTTTCTGCGAAATCTAACCGGTTTCCTTACAAATGTGACTATACGATTTCACGGTACCTATTGGTTACTTTTAGCCTCTGAAGTGCGATCACCTGTTTATTGTGATCAAGGCTGTCTATCTCTTTTGAATGGATCTTCGACAAAATGGGCAAAAGATGGTGCGCAAAACGCTGTTTTTTTATATAAACGATGAGCTGGGAGATGCGGAAGAAATCAACAAAGCTTTATAAATTGATAAAATAGCCACGACGTATAGGCAAGAAATACGGAGCGCGGAAAAATGGAGATTCTGCTGATTGGAAAATGGGAGTCAGATATTTCAACGCACAAGACAGAAGATGTCCGCAAGAAAAAAATTCGGCTCCTGAGAACCACTCGAGCGCCACTAGCCAACTGGTGAGTGAAAAACAGTAAGAAACCCACTACCCGGTGGATAATCATTGCCTTAGAGTGGTCCAAATTTGCCTCACCCGCTGGAGATGATGAAGCCAAATGTTGAGTGCTCTGTTTGGCATTGTGGACTAAACGAGAGATACCTGCAGAACCAGTGAAGACGAAGGACGATTTATCAAAAAAACGTTTTGTTATAACCTGGGTCCGAAATGATAAACTTGGTTCCCACTGAGATCAACATAACACTGATCTATTCGAGGAAACAACTGGTGCGACAAGCTGATGACTATCATCCAACAGCGCATAATAGTAGCCTTTAATCATCAACTCAAGGTGCGAACTAGCCACACCCTGGACAGGAGAAGGAGGGACTGGCATGCAGAATAATAGTCTTGGAGTGATGACGACTTACTTTGAAGTTTCCAAACACTGTGTTGATCCGGCGAGAATTTGCACGTCCTGGACTACCGAGTACTCGCTCACGGGTCACCGGAGAAGCTGCTGAGTGCAGAGGACAAATAGTAAATGTAACGCGTGGCACCTGTAAGTTTGATAAAACATCAGTTATCCGACTAGTTGTCGGCGGGTACATCCCAGTTATTCCCAAAGAAAATACGTTTAGCAGAGACCAACTGAGTGGATTCACCGAAAGCCATCCCTATCCAGTTGAACGTAACCTTGGAATGAAGCTTCAAGAAATCATCCAAAGGTGGTTCACTCTGACCGTGGCCTTCGCGGAAGGGGATAAATGATTCGAGATAAGCCATATCTCCAATTGACATTATCGTGTTTCTCATTTCAGTCAATCAGCACTGTGTTGACTGCGACAGTCTGACGAAAAATATTTGCTTGCTGACATCAATCCTTATCCAGTTACCTCTGAATCCATACGTGAACGCAAACACCTCCAGGGAAAACATCCTCAAAAGAGATCAACCCGCATCGGCGTGAACGCAAACACCTCCAGGGAAAACATCGGTGGCAGCTTTCGTTCTTCCCTTCAAGCTTCTTCCGGAAACTATGCCACTGACTGAATACACTAAATTTAGTTAGTCTAGTGAAGGTGGACGTTATATTCGTACATTACAAAATCATTAGAAATCGGTAGGTGTATACCAGTATATGGAAAAACCAGGCAATGTCCACACCTACCCACCCACCCCCAACGTTAGACATAAAGTGAGCATACCTCTCCAACTATGCCTCAAGAGGACGAGTATCCGTACTTTGTTAAGCACCTTCTGCCGTTACATACGATAAGGAAGGAAAAACGTTAGGCCAAAAAGCGACGGTTTCGATCAGAATACAGAGGAGTCATATGTTGGACTCTGTGTTACGAACGATGGCGTCGTCATGCTAGAAACCTTGGCTTGGAAATGTTTGGTTTCGATGCCACCGCTCAACTCTGATGCATAAAGACAAATAGTGGTCCAAATTCAACTGTTGAAATATGGTTCAAAAGTCCCATCAAAAATGGTTATTTTCTAAGTTCAGGTCTTTATGGGGTGGAACAGCACGTCGGGTTGTGCCAGTTGGATAGAAAAAAGACATGCCTTAGTTCTTTCGCACTAAAATACTTCTATCAAAAGCACTGCAAAAACATGAAATTCAGGGGTACCTGGAGGACTGAGTAATGCACTCCCGCAACATATTAAAAAGACGCGCAAAGATAAGTATGGATCTTACGGGCCAATGGTTCTTTGAAAAGCCCACGAGAAGAGGGAGATAAAACTGAAGATATACAGCCGTCTGAAGAGTTCAGCATACGTAAAGGCGATCGAACAGGTCTGGGTGAAGCACAACCCGATATGTCGGTCGTTTCTGCTCGAGCAGCGTTGATAAGCACAGTGTGAAGCAACGGCAACTTGGAATTTGAATTACTTGGTACAGATCCCCCCGAAGTCGATTTCTCAGTAACCACAGAGTCCACAATCCAACGTAATAAGTGCGCTGGAATCCTATCCAAATTCTTGGAAACAAATCCATGTATGGAGTAAACAACTGGACCAGCAAAATGACGAACAGTGAAACACTCAACTGAGCGGCGCTGTTGGGATGGTGAGTCAAGATTGTGTGAACCGGAGACCAGAGTATTTTTGTCCGTTTGCAGTTTCTTTATCGGCCTAGGAGACAATGTGTTTTTGCCAGCTAGACAGTGGAAAAAGAAGTAAAAGAAGCAGCTAAGACACATTATAGAAGGTAGAGTATCTGAATTAAATAAACCTCAAACAAAAGGTCAAATAGTTGAATGCAATCAACTCCAAACAGACATCCTGTAAGACAAACAAGACAAAATAATTATAAAGCCGTAGTCCACAGAAAACAACCAACAGGAAGACGAAACCGTGGCCATTGTGCAATGGTATGCACTCAGGGAAGTTAGTGGCATCAGTGTATTTTTTCCAGATCCCATCGGTAGTAAAAAAGAACACTTTAAACAATAGTGAGTCTTTAGGCAATATTGAATGTCTTCGTATATGTTGTACCGTGCGTGACCGTCTATTGGTCACGCCTGCACCAAGCCTGCGAGACTACACGATAAGGAGAAGACAGAGAACTCCGGACACGGCTGCATTGTCAGGACAAAACATACAGAGCTTCTGTGTAAATATACAGGATGACTAAATGGCCAAATATGGTCGTTCACTTGTTCGCTCTGTACAGCCGATGGCGGTGTTCCGGTCTTGAACAAGTTCAGCTTCTGTTCTAAGCCATGTTTGGTGAGCTCCACCAACGCACCTGCTTTCCGAACGTGCCGCACCGATGGTGACATTGGGGATGCGTCACTCTCCGCACATGTACTTTCTCCATGTCTGGGCGCATCCTGACAGCAAGTATATTTGATGGTAAAGAACAAAATGGGCACCGGAAACATGTCATCCATGTAGTCACTCCATAAATAAGTAATTTCAACAATTTTGAGTTGACTGACAACAAATGAATCATTTTAAATGCACCGAACCGTCAAATGCATGCTTAAGCATTCACCAGCTATCCATTTCCGAAACATTATTCCTTCTGATGTAGGCAACGACCCTTCCACGGAAAATGCAATTGGCAAAGGGTAAATTCGACCTCCTATCGAGAGGCTGAACTCTAGGTCCTAGATGACGGGAAACGTCGTTCCGGACTCCTAAAGAGGACGGCCCTTATTCAGCTATGTCTCCCTGGGAAGATTCGCAGTACACTGTTTCATAGTGATGTGTTTGATTCCGACTCCATCAGTCCTGAGCGTCCGCTTGTCTCTAAAATTCGAATCCGACGTTTTGAACTATTTTGGTGGCATTCATCCTTTTCCTTTCCGGAAGTCTGTCTATAGCACATAATAACGCATCCTCAAGGAGGGCTGTCCCTTCAACGCCGATATTCATATTTGTTTGGTTACAGTACACCCTTCGATCATACGATAAGAATGTAGATCTGTAGGATAGGTCCACCAGTGTTTCTGCATCTAAGGTAAAGTAAGGCTTGAGACGAGCATTGACTTTCCGAATAATGATAAATACCAAAGCTTTAATAGGAAATAAGTAGTGTATACCCAAACCAAAAAAGGTAAAAAAAACACCTATAATCTTGTACGCATGTGTCCCAAAAGGTGAAAGACATTAACGCGTACCTCTAGACCGTCGAATTACTGGCCGATGACACTAGCATTATCATTGACAACCCAACAAACATTTTTAAAACATACTACTTATAATTTTGACAGTAGTAAAGCTGAATACGTTTGAAAACGAGAGGAAATGTCTCCATTCCTCTCAAGAAAACAGCATCGTGTCGCCCTAATTCCGTTGTGCTATGCTCTGGCATAATTACGAACAAATAGATTTGCATCGAGGATCCATCAGTGTAGAATAATAATGATATGCTGTCTATGGTGGCGTTCAGATATGGGACGTCCCAAAGAATCAAACAACATTGAAGTGCGTGCAACCGGCGTAAAATCTGGCGCACGTATTAGCATCTCAACTATCGGATAAGAATAAGCGGACGGTTCATTTATTTATCAAATGAGTTAAAAGGGGATTGAGTCCCGGATTTATAAGTGCATCGCATTCATGGGTCTACTGACCTGGAAGCCTCGTGTCCCGTTTCGCGACTCTCAAATTTATGACTACCTCGAAGTGGTCATATAATGCATAACCTATGTAGAAAGGAAGTGTGAATGCGCAAAGCGAAAGCCGAGCGATGTCTGAACCATTTTTGTGGAAAAGGTCCAAAGACGAATACCTCAGGAAAAAAAGTCCGATGAGCCCGACGTGACTCGAACACGCAACCTTCTGATCTGGAGTCAGACGCGCTACCATTGCGCCACGAGCTCTGGCGCGTCAGTCACATATTAATCCACTAAATGGTAGATGTGATCCATGCAGCAGTAAGTTGGTAAGATTAAATGCCTAGAAATGCCGACACCCTCAAAGAGAACAACGGTTTTCACCTGATTTTAGACATCCATTGTTTAGGGAGGGGTCGGTCTCTGGGTTTACACTCAAGAACAAGGTCTAGCAACGGGATCTCCAATATCCCAGGTTTTGGCAAATATATTTATGGAGGATTTTGAACAAAAAGTTTCAGCCTGATTCCCATACCTACCCGAGATATTCCGCCGTTATGTATGTCGTGATGAAACGAGACAAGGTCAGTGAGCTTTACAACTACCTGACTGAACTGAGTCCACGCATCAAACTTGGTATGGAGATAGAGTCAACCTCGGGTACACTTGCCTTTTTGGACAGCATGACACATAAGGTCGGGGGGGGGGAACTAAAACACCACCGTGTAAGGGACAGTTTTGAACTGCTTGTCTGCCGATCCGAAGTCCGTATTCGTTAGACGCATAAGGGCCCTGTGTACAGAAGTTGATCGGGACAACGTTCCAAAATGAAGTAAAGAACAAACTACGGGGTAAGGGATATTCAATTGGTTTTCATCAGCTGCTAATTACGAAGGGTGTTGGTACCAGTAGCGAAACTCAACAGGGAATGGGTTGGGACTGCTTTTATTCCTTGTAAACCGTGGACATCAGAGATCATTCGAAGGATTTTAAACACGGCTTCCATAGGAGTAGCTTTCCGGAGGGGAAATACTCTGAGCTCTGCACTGGTGTAATTGAAGGATTGCCTCCCAGGGACTGTCCATAAAATTAAGTGTAACGAACGCACTGTTTATATAGGACAGACGCCTGAATCGGAGAGCATAGGAAGAAAATAAACAGGCTACCGGGAAACGCAGATGCTATCGAGCGCTACTGAATGACTCGGCAATAGCCGAACATGCACTGGATACGGCACACAAAATATATTTAGAAAATGGTGAGGTTATGATCCGAGAACTACCGTTCATACCACAGAGATCGATGGCCGAGGTGGTTGGAATCGCCAAGCATCCCAGTGTTAACAGGCCAAAAGGCGTGGGAGAGCGTGGGGAGAACTGTTTAGATCAATCGACCTGACAAGTGTTGGTGTGTGGTTAGCAGAACGAGGAGTAGTCATCATCTGAATCGCAGTTAGCCTCACAAACTTTCCTCCCCACTCCCCAACTAAATCGTCGCAACACTCACAAGCACGCGAAGACCAACGAAATCTGCCAGCGACATCCGCGGCGAATCATCAATCAAAGCACCTTCAAGTGGAAGGAACCAAACCCGATCGGAACTAATTTGAAACTCCCCCACCTCACCATTGCAACCACACTAACCGACAAGAACCGTTAATTGACACTCAACACTGGTCTAGTGTGATAATCTGAAGAGCACTTGTTGATTGGTTCTCCGTCTGCCTTATAGCCTGGCCAGTTCGGGGACCTGCTCATTTGGCCTGATGAAGCTTTTGTATCAAACGCGAAACGTTGCTCATTTAAACATTACCGATTTTCACCAAGCCCTTCTAAGACGATGACTTCTCAATCGGTTTCAAAATTTTCCAACCCATTAACACAAGATTGTGGCAACCACACTAAAAGACAAGAACTATTAATATGAAGACATCTTACTGATTGGTTCTCCGTCCGCCTTAAAAACTGACCAGCTTGATGATCTGATGAAGCGGAACGTTACCCAGTTGAAAAAAGACCGATTGTTTACCAACCTCTGCTGAAACGACAACCTCTTCGTTGTTTTGAATCACAGAATTTTATTCACTTTTTGTACACTCAAAAGTAATTTTATTGCGAGAGATAATTTACCACAAAGATCTTTTACAATGTATAGTGCCGAACACAGTGGTAGACAATGGAAACCCCATAGAGGTCAAGATACTGCACGGTTTACCTTGGATCCGTGTGACATTCTAATAAATGGTGGTCGCACCCAAATTAGATTATCAGCGAAGCTAAGCCAAGTTGAAAAGCACCAATTACATCAAATAATTCAGGTAACAGCCAACTAGTAGGTGTTGTGTTGTTTCCTCATGAGAATCAAGTCAGACACTCCAAAAACTATATAATATCACATCTTCGGTTCTGCGGTGTGTGTGTGTGTGTGTGTATAAGGTGGGGTTGATGTGAGCTGTAGAATACAGTATCACCAATCGACCAATCGATCAACTATTATAAACCACATGTGATCTTATGGGTTACGAGGTAATGGAATACTATGTAAACAGGGTTTACGAGAAACTGGACCGAACGAATGGGAAGTCGCTTTCAAATGGAGATCGCAGATGAGCCACCGCATTGCTTTTAAACACGGCTTCCATAGGAGTAGCTTTCCGGAGGGGAAATACTCTGAGCTCTGCACTGGTGTAATTGAAGGATTGCCTCCCAGGGACTGTCCATAAAATTAAGTGTAACGAACGCACTGTTTATATAGGACAGACGCCTGAATCGGAGAGCATAGGAAGAAAATAAACAGGCTACCGGGAAACGCAGATGCTATCGAGCGCTACTGAATGACTCGGCAATAGCCGAACATGCACTGGATACGGCACACAAAATATATTTAGAAAATGGTGAGGTTATGATCCGAGAACTACCGTTCATACCACAGAGATCGATGGCCGAGGTGGTTGGAATCGCCAAGCATCCCAGTGTTAACAGGCCAAAAGGCGTGGGAGAGCGTGGGGAGAACTGTTTAGATCAATCGACCTGACAAGTGTTGGTGTGTGGTTAGCAGAACGAGGAGTAGTCATCATCTGAATCGCAGTTAGCCTCACAAACTTTCCTCCCCACTCCCCAACTAAATCGAACACACACTCACAAGCACGCGAAGACCAACGAAATCTGCCAGCGACATCCGCGGTGAATCATCAATCAAAGCACCTTCAAGTGGAACCAAACCCCCCAACTAAATCGTCGCAACACTCACAAGCACGCGAAGACCAACGAAATCTGCCAGCGACATCCGCGGCGAATCATCAATCAAAGCACCTTCAAGTGGAAGGAACCAAACCCGATCGGAACTAATTTGAAACTCCCCCACCTCACCATTGCAACCACACTAACCGACAAGAACCGTTAATTGACACTCAACACTGGTCTAGTGTGATAATCTGAAGAGCACTTGTTGATTGGTTCTCCGTCTGCCTTATAGCCTGGCCAGTTCGGGGACCTGCTCATTTGGCCTGATGAAGCTTTTGTATCAAACGCGAAACGTTGCTCATTTAAACATTACCGATTTTCACCAAGCCCTTCTAAGACGATGACTTCTCAATCGGTTTCAAAATTTTCCAACCCATTAACACAAGATTGTGGCAACCACACTAAAAGACAAGAACTATTAATATGAAGACATCTTACTGATTGGTTCTCCGTCCGCCTTAAAAACTGACCAGCTTGATGATCTGATGAAGCGGAACGTTACCCAGTTGAAAAAAGACCGATTGTTTACCAACCTCTGCTGAAACGACAACCTCTTCGTTGTTTTGAATCACAGAATTTTATTCACTTTTTGTACACTCAAAAGTAATTTTATTGCGAGAGATAATTTACCACAAAGATCTTTTACAATGTATAGTGCCGAACACAGTGGTAGACAATGGAAACCCCATAGAGGTCAAGATACTGCACGGTTTACCTTGGATCCGTGTGACATTCTAATAAATGGTGGTCGCACCCAAATTAGATTATCAGCGAAGCTAAGCCAAGTTGAAAAGCACCAATTACATCAAATAATTCAGGTAACAGCCAACTAGTAGGTGTTGTGTTGTTTCCTCATGAGAATCAAGTCAGACACTCCAAAAACTATATAATATCACATCTTCGGTTCTGCGGTGTGTGTGTGTGTATAAGGTGGGGTTGATGTGAGCTGTAGAATACAGTATCACCAATCGACCAATCGATCAACTATTATAAACCACATGTGATCTTATGGGTTACGAGGTAATGGAATACTATGTAAACAGGGTTTACGAGAAACTGGACCGAACGAATGGGAAGTCGCTTTCAAATGGAGATCGCAGATGAGCCACCGCATTGCTCTGTGCAAACATTCAGTCAACAGTAGAGCAGATGAGTTAAATGGAATCAAAGCGCCTCAATTATTGCACGTGTGCAGTTTATAAAGTACCAGAGAGTCTATGTAAACAAGAAGTATCATACGAAGTGGTGGTTGGGACTGAATCAGTTGGTATTCAGTAATTTGAAATCCCAAATGACCTATTCTGAACTACGAGAAGACTACAACAAGATCGGCCTACCGAGCTGCTGTAGCCATGAGTATCATCATACGGTCTTCAGAGTAAGACGAGTGCGGGAGTGCAAAAAGGCAATTTGGATGTCTTACAGGACGAAGTCTAACTTGCTTTCTTAGCCACCATAAATTTCCCACTCTAAAGGACAGGATACAAGATGCCCTAACCGGGTAGCGAAAGGTTAGGTGGGATAAACTATGAGTGGGCTTTACAATATTCATCCGACGTGGAACCAACTGATTTGTGGGTAACCACGGAAACGATCGCTGAAATAGCAACAACGAAAGAATTTGGGACGTACTTAGTCCGGGGATAATGATTCTGCTAGAGGAAAACGCCATTTGCAGACGACGCATCCACTCCATGTCGCGTGGGTCATCAATCGCCGCCAAAGTTGAACCACGATGTTTGCTGCTAATTTCTTGGATGCGATTCAGTAGACAAACCTAAAATAAAATTGGAACGTAAAAAATTTCGCATACACCTCTCATGAACTAAGAAGCGAACCGCGAACGGTTAATAACCTTGTAAATGCCGAACGTGTTATTTTGATCTAGGTGATAGGAGACATTTTATTGGATGATTTCCGTACGCCTAGATGCATTTGCATCTGCCAATCCAAGGATGTCTTGAACAGGCGAGAGCGATGGCCTAGTGGCGTACGCAATGGTCATCCCGTATCTGACCTATCACTCGCAGCGCAGAGCTATCTTTTGAAAATAATCGTTCAGTTGTAGCACCCTGACTGTCATGCCAACTGAAGGAAGCACGAGGGCTGACATAATGCCATGGTACCCAAGCCTAGACAAGAAAGGTCGAGAAGCAGAGGTCGGGTTCGAACCAAGGACCTTCCAGTCAGTAAATTCGAGCCATCTCGCCCCCTATCTATCTTCTGAGGTACCAGTAATGACAATCAATATACTATTGTCAGCGGATTCAAAGTAAACGCTACGGTTTATCCTTCCAATTCCGTCACCACCCGCAGACAGAATTGTGGTTCCTGTAGACTCCGTCTGGGCGTAAGTTCCACTGACTGGCTATTATTAGTCTAAAGCGACCGGCTCTGTTGACGGTTATCTAACACCTATCATAGCAAAACATGTCCAGAATGTTCAAAACGCTGCTGCCAGATGTCTCAGACTTTAGTGATTACCGAAGTAGACAGTTTATACTGTTGACCAAGTATACATGCATTAGCTATCAGATGACTGTGCAAGAAAGCAAGCAGACCAGAAATCGAGGTGGTTAGGTTGTATAAACGGTAATGCGCGGAATTACTGCAGTGCAGATGAATGATGCTCTGGCGAGTGGACGATGCACACTCGAATGGCGATCAATAATGATCGATCGCACCGATCAGCTATTTGATGGGCGAACTGTGTCAAATGGGCCGGTAAAAACCTGCCGAAAACGTGGGTTTATGATACACAGTTCCCTCGAAATTACTGTCTCTTGAACTCCAGCAGTGAAATGAGAACGACACCACCATCGGTCAGTGTTTGGTGCCCTACGCACAGTTCAATGAACCAGCCCGTTTCACAAACGGCTAACCACTTGGGCGGTCTCGTCCCCACCAAGCCTAGAGAGGAGCAGTCGAGATAAAGAGGCCGAGTTTGAACTATGGACCTTTCGGTCAATGAGTTTGTTCCCTAAGCTGTCTCAGGCTAGAACAGTTTACGCACATTCCCAGAGTTTCTGGTCTACTCTATCTCTTCAGAACTCGGGCGCAGAGGTGAAAGGAATGGCCCTTCTAGGAAGCAAATGAACCCAAGGTGAACGGATCACATGTCTGTGGTCCTTCCTACAGAAGTTGTTTCAGCAGTCAGTGATTCTTTTCGATCCGTCCGCCTGGTTTCCTGTAAAGTGAAAACTGAACAACCTAATTTCTGGAAATTTTGGCTTTCCAAATTCCGATAACGTGTCGACCTTGGACGAAGCGACAGATGCCAGAAACAAAACGAATCGCGTGCTCAACATTTGCCCACTAAATGGCTCAGCCCGAACCACTATTGTTATCTGAAACTGTCAACGAGCAATTGAGGTTATTAGTTGGGACAGCAAACAGACCAGATGTCACTGCTACCGACATTCTAACAAAAAGTTGAGAAAGCATCACAGTGTAGATATTGGTTAGACAGTGTATTTGCTCTGTTTATACGGGGATTCCCGTTTTTGTATAAATACACCTATCAGGTATGAATGTATTCCAAAAACTGTACAAACTTTTATCACCCTGGTATCAATACGACAGGTCAGAGCAGCGCAACCACTGTGGAATCATAACTGAAAATGACACGTCACTTTTTAAACATGAAGCGTAGAATGACAGCATCAGAAAAGAAGCAAGTAGCACAGGTCTTTGTAGTCTCTGTTTCAAACTTCAAAAACAATTATACTTGACCTTACTTCCCTGATTTTTAAAACGATAAGAAATGTCAGGCTTCACATGCCTAGTAAAGAGCGATTATTAAGGCAGAAGTGGATGCGAACTTATGAGCCAGTGAAAAGAACATATGCACTCACCTCGTCTAGTAGACCAGCACCCAGTTTCATACCGTCAATGACAGGCATGTTGTCACAGTCTCGTAGGCGGTTGAATATATTCATGGAATCTCGTGAATTTTTCGGAGGACCCAAGCCTTCCGCGATTAGTTCGTTATGCACACTATCCACAGCGATCCGCATAAAGTTCTGATGTAGTCTTTCGTTCGCGAAATTGATGCAGTATTGCTCGAAACCATTATCGGTGAGTCTTTCAAAACCAAACAGATCCAAAATGCCTGCGAAACGGAAAACATTGTTCATTGTTCCAATAACCCAAACACGAGTCGTCATGAACTTACCCCGAAAATAGCTGAGAAATTACTCGAATCAAAATGATATCATATTGTTGATCAGCCATTTAAGGCTTACTGCAACGCCGAGGGTTCAAAACTAGCTGAGTTTCATGAGATGCGCACTGTTGATGATCTCCAAAAAGAATGAAACAACAGTGCAGTGTTTCTCGGCTTTTTAGCACAGGTTGGCTTCATTGATAGGAAGAAACATCTATCGAATATTGCCAAATCTTCACACATTACCGGGAAATAAAAGCGTTGGAAAAAAGTTAGCCCACACTGAGTCCAGTGTGAATGAAACTCACCAAATTCAGCCAAAGACACATCCATCTCAGGTGGTCTTAGTTGTTTGTTAATTGTCTCAACGATATGTTCGAAAAGACTAAAAAAGACCAAAAACAAGGAGAAAGATAAGACTTTGGGGAGTGTAAGAAAATCACTAGCAAAACAATTCCAAGTAACAAGTGGCTGTTTTCTCAAACAAAAACTCAGTATTTCGGAGAGTGCGACTTCTCCCGCCAATATGGTTAATGAGATGAATGTCTCCAAACTTTCCTAAGCTGAGGATCTTATTAGGGGGGTTGAAAAAACCAGGTGGGATAATTGTCAGAGTGAATTAGAGTTGACGAACGCTAGCAACACTTGGTGACCCGCCCTAACACACGGAATTCCTTGGTCGACACCTAATACAGGTTTAGCTTGACTTAGTCGATTGGTTCTCCTCCCGCCTTAGACCTCGACCAACCCTGTAACCTAATCACTTGGCCTGACGAAGCTTTTGTGTCAAAAGCGAAACGTTGCCCTGCAATAAATATACTGAATGTTCCCAAATATTTCCGGAAACATTCAGAACTAAACGTTGGTTGTAACGACAGAGATGGGGACCATCAGTATGGGAAGAACTATGTCGTAAATTTCTGTTCAAAATCGAAATTGAAATGAAAGTGCTTCCAAAACCACTAGATGTAGGAAGAAGCAATATCAGGGCTTTTCTGCTTTGTTCGGTGTGATATTACTGACAGAATTCTGTTTGCATAAACACCACGATTTGATCTGGGCCATGGTTACCGAAAAATACAGTCTAGTACGGCCAACTAGTGCGGTCAACTTTAACAGCAGCTTTTATCGGTCAACAGTGCGGAAAAATGAGGCGAGTAAACCTAGAATCCACACACGGAATTTTCGTAAACATTGTTCCCCGTGGACTAGGCCGATGATATAAGGGGTGTCTTAAAACGCTGATAATACATCCACGCGCTATCGGCCCAACTACTGGATCCAGAATGTGACACAAACTATCCCATTCTCAGGCCTTCGGCGGAAGGATCCGTAAGAGCTGCAACCAAAACATCGTTCAGCTGTAGCATCCTTTCGATGCCTAACTGATATACCACACGAGTGAGGCAAGAGGGCTGGGATACTGTCAGGTCGCCCAAGGCTAGGTAGGAGAAGTCGAGAGGCAGAGGTCGGATTCGAACCACGGACCTTCCGGTCAGCAAATTCGCGCTCTAACCACTTGGTCCATCTCGCCCCACCAATACATCAATAAATAACACGTGGTGTCCTGGTTAGTATTATTAAGCATGGTGATATCTGAGTAAAAATTTGTTCCTACTCACTGGATATAAGTGACTCCTGAAACTAGAAATCACAGAAATGCTAATGTATCCTGTGGTAAATTTGTTCAGACAGGGATGCGTGGAGAGGATTGTAAGCAGTGCCAAAAAATACAGTTTCTTAGACTGATGGGCTTCCGTCATGTTACTTACTTGTTGTACAAGGTTTTAACCAAACAGTCACGCTGTTCCTTGGCTTGTGCAACCGTACAGGTTGCCGTATACACAGTAAGCCGCCTAGTTCGGAAGGTATTCGAGCCGTTTCCAGCTTGTACACTCCGCGTCAACAGCTGGCGCGGAAAATCACCAGCGATTTCGCCCTCCTCCAGACCGAGAAGTCGTCCCGCAAGCAACACTGAAACGAGTAAGTTGGAAAATTACTACCACCTTTGAAAATGGATTATCATTCTGAGGAGGTAATTTTGCCGAGATTTCCAAAAGGGTTGTGAGATTCGTTTCGTTACACCGCACTAGTGTCAAAGGTAGCTGGATTAAACTTGCCTTTGGGTAAGTCCTCCGGATGAATAACAGCAAAGGAACCACTATCGCCAACATCTTCGGAAGCAGCGAGCTCATGAACGCGCCGGTTTAGTGGTGCCTGGTTGCGCGCCGGGCTGGCAGGCAAAAACCGAGAGGTGTTCAGTAGAAGTATTGAAGTTAGTATATTCTGCAGCTGGTCAAGGTCAGAAGAGGAGTAGCCAATGCCACTAAGAGCATCCAAAACCGTGGACCAGGATCGTCGATCAGTAGATACATCACCTTCTCTGAACTGTTGTAGCGCGGACACCAGGTCATTTAGTCTGAGTTCTTCAGCCAATTTGACGGATAAGGAACTCAAGAACTACACACAACGGAGAGCAGATGGTTCATTGTAAAAACGAGCTTCCAAGTAACAAATTCGTTTCCTCAGTGAGCTAACAAAATTCACGAGCTGAATTGGCAGAAAGAGCTTACGTGCGTTAAATCTAAAATCATTTATTATGGTTACGGTATACCGGTGAAGGTAGCTCATCAGTTGACCACGGGATATATTCGCGCAAAAAGAAACCTGAAAGCATAAAGTCGGATGCTGTTCGACACGAGGAATTCACGCAACTCGTTGGCATACGCCCAACGATTAGTTACGTATGACTTTTAGGAGTTTTTAGAGGCCCGAGTTAAATTCGACAGCAAGAATCGTCATGATTAACACACAGAGCCGTGAGAAGCGTTGATGAAATGTCAACCAGGTCTTGAAGGACGTTTTCTGGGAATGCGAAGCTTCACCAAACGACTGAGTCTGAAGCGCGGCGCAATTTTCAGCGCCAGTACCCACATGGCGACAAGTGGTTGTGATTGATCGATACAGTGAAACTCTTTGTTATAAGCCGAAGCTCTCAAAAGGCGAGTGTTTGTGGGTCTTGCACCACTACGCTATTTTGCTGACTTGAGAAAAGGTGGACTGACTACTATCCTGAGAGTCGCATGACGCATTCAACGATGAGTGATATGGAGTAAATCGTACTGATATGAATGAAAAATATAGATGCCAATGGAAGTTAGAATGCATGTGGTCCAAGAACGCCAGAAACCCAGGTAGGGTTCACAAAAAATTATTGTTGCTGAAAATTGACCAAATGCTTAAATGGTTGCGCTGATCAGAGAAGGAAACAGACAGACCACATCACATTGAGTGCCTACTGCAAAAACAGAAAAGTAGCTTAAAAATCTTCAAAATGCGACCACACGTGCAAGGTACTTACCATGGAAAAAATGTGGAAAGACGAAAAAACTGAGCGAGAATCAAATACTGTCCTTGGTTTTTCCAGAAGGTAAATCTGTACAGTAGCGCCAACAACGACTTGCTCTCTACAAATATCGTAGGTAGGAAAGAATACGGGACACGTTACTTACGTATTGTAGAAAAGGGATAAAAACTTTCCGAATCGTGAGCTGTTCGTGTTGCATATCGTGCGAGCATTGCCTTCAAAAATACATAGGCGATGAGGGTAAAAAAATTAGGGAACGTACCGAAAGCTTCTAGAACTGGGTTGGATAGCAACAGACGTTGTTCGATTTGGCTTTCATTAACAGGCCTGAAATAGATTAACGTCGAGCCACGACATTAACACAGAATTAAACACACTGCCTATTGGATGAGAAAAAAGCTGTAATAATATTGCTAGTAATAATAATACTCTGGGTATTGTGAATCAATGACTGAAGTAACCCAACACGTGGAAAACTCGAGGCTTCGGTTGTACAACCGAATTTGGTAGGTATTCGTGAAAATGCTGGCTCAAATCGGGACAATGCCAAAAATGAAATATTCAGGCATTATTCCCTAGAACGATGCACGTGTAACGAAACGGACTGAGCATTTACAATAACCGAGCCTTTCCAACCACTGTCCTCCAAAAATCAATGTGATTACGAGAAACTTGTGTGGGAAGAACTTGCTTGTTTACTACGTTTTAACAAAACCATTCATGTTAATATACATCTGAAACAGTATGCTCACTAAAAGTCATCCGTTGTAAAGCTAGTCAGTCTGTTGTCTACACTCCGTACAAAATTCAGCAGTCAAACAATCTGACTGAACTTGATCGATCGCACCAGTGTGTCGTTTCTAAGTAAGAAAAGTTTAATATCGAACCTTGCTGTCATAATATCATGAGGAACCGGTATCTACAGCGGGGTGAATTTCCCTCAATAATTGTGGTAATGTTCTTCTATTGGATGAGTCAACGATGATACAGAAACGGTTCAGGGCGAAAGTTGACTTCGAGGGCAAAATGGTAACAAACTATTGTAGTCAGGATTTAGTACAAGCAGTGTGGGTAGTCGGCGTTACGAACTAAAAACGGTCGCGAATTGAATGCTAATCTGAAAGAAACAGCAGCGCTCGTGTGCAAGAACACAGAGCAGTAGAAAAGACACAAACTGTTAAAGGGAAACTCTCAGATCCTCCTATACCGTAACACTGAACCGGGAGGCGAATTCGTGCATGGGGTATTTTGTCAGTAGACTCAAGAATCACATCGCCGCCTGGTTGTGGCATGATGTTAGCTTGGCGCCTTCGCGTCCTAGCGGCCAAGCCACCCACAAACCTGGTTTCGGTCCACAATGGCTACTTTCCAGTGCTGAAACACACACGACCATGCGATGCACAAAACCATCCGAAAGCAGAACGTAGTGGTTCTCTGCATTCGATCACGTTAAAACACAATAAGTGAAATATATGAAGCACAGGGTTCTGTGGAGGTGCCCCTAAAAGACTGCGCTTAATAACTAATTACACACAAAGTATAACAAAACAACAGAATGAAGCAGGCACTTTTATTCAAAAGTAAACTGGAAAAACTGTTGTTCCGTAACTACATCCAAGAGGAACCGACAGGCGTCTGAATGTTAGGAGGAATCACTCTCCAACAATTCCAATATTGGATGCGCCTAGTTGAAAACAGATTATCTAATAAAGAATTCCAAAGTTTGGTGATTGATCAAATGAACAATTTTAAGCGGATAGTCAGCTTTGTACAGCAGGAAGTAACAAGCGGACTGAAATGATACCAGTCTTACTGTCTGTAGGGACGCGGTAAAAGGGGACAAACCAATTTCGGTTCACTCTAGTCACCACTATCGAGAAATATAAGGACAAGACGACTGTAGCGTGAAGATTCAAGAGGCTCAGCAATACACAGAAAATTAGCAGTCGAGCGGAGATAAAGTCGATTACGGTTTGCTGACAGCGCAGCCAACTGACGCCCAGTCAAACAAAGCTTCAAGGAAGATCGTAGCCCAACAGGACGGATATCACGGGCAGGATGGTCAGCATTATTAGGAGCGAAATTCAGACGGGTTCGGATGACTGTAGGTTAGCACCTGCTAATACCGTGACACTTCTCCTCATCAGTAATCCTACCCTCGCAGCGAAGACTAACTTCGTCGCAGCTGTACACTAGTATACCAGACGGAATTTCACCTAGTCAGAATATCCGCTGCAACTTGTATACCATATTAAAAAACAATCAGATTCGAGGGAGAGGGTAAGATGGCCCAAGTGGTAACAGCGCGAGTTTACTGCTCGGAAGGTTCGTGGTTCGAATCCGACCTCTGCCTCTCGACTTACCCTGTCTAGGCTTGGGCAACCTGGCAGTATCCTAGCCCTCCGGTGGCATAGCAGCTAGGCATCGAAAGGGTGCCACAGCTGAACGAGATTCAATCTAACCCTTTAAAATGAACCCTGCCCGTTTTGCAAACAGGTAGCAGTGAGTAGACCTGCGTAAGTAAATTCAATCTCGGTGAGTTCTTTTCGTTGCCTACAACTGGGCAGTGTTCAAGCGAGTAGCAAGGTTACAAGCAAGAGAAGCGGTCGAACTCAAAGCTCAGCCCGCTGCGGTGTACTACGGGACAATACAGCATAAACGTCCACTCCAATTAGCGAGTGTTACCGTGCTGACAAACAGTAGAAACATACCTCTTGTAGCATCGTTGGCGACTGCTCTGTTGAACCAGATAATGCAGTGCATGTTTGGCAGCCTCGGTTTTTCCTGATCCACTTAGTCCAGAAATGATCACAGATTGGTTCGCTTTGTTTTCGACCATTTTACGCAAACATTGCTCCATTAGCGAGTAAATGTGAGGTAGGTTTCGCAGATTCCTACTCTGCAAAAACGATAAAAAATTAGAGGACTAACATACCCTAAATACAGCATCACGTTGTTGACCGCCATACAATTCGGGGATTTCCTTGTTGGGGTTCAATGATACAAGGATGTTCTCGCCAAGCCATGTATATATCTTTTCACACTCGTACCGCTGCAACAGAGCCGAAAGAACTTCCAATAATTCTTAGAAGCAGTATGAGTTACCGGCCGAATCCTCCAGAACTTGGAGGAAAAGAAGATCGTCGGGTAACATCTGGTGGTTCATTGAAAGTCTGTGCATAGTTGAACAGCGAATCGGTTCGCTAAAACAATAAAAGGAGTTCGGAGCTTCTAAAGAAATATCACTCGTTTTGAAAAATATGATTACTTTGGACGTATATATAATATGAATGATATCAATTAAGGACAACCTGAATTCAGCCGCGGTGTTCTTTGGGTAGGGAAAAAAGGGAACCTTTTGCCCAGCTTCCTTTCAAACGTAATCCAAAATATGGTGATCAGAAGACAATGCTTAAATGCGCTGGATCCTTCTCCCAATCAAACACTGGAAAATCGTCAACAATGAGAAAAACCACATCACACACACAAGCGCTTTCAGCCAAACGAACTAAAGAAAATCAGGTCATAATGCAATGGAGATTGAGATTGAGCTGGTCAACTTAGAGAAACGAAAAGCTACCAAAACAGAAAGTGCCAGGACACTCAAGCAAACAGACCACAGTGCGATGCAAACCGCCAGCACCGAAAACAGGACAGTGACAAAAACTCTAGGAAATAGGTTATCCGAAGAACTGGTCGAATGCGGGGAATACGAACCACAGCATAACACAAGTCGCAGAAGAAACAATGAGTCGTATCAACAAGCCCCTGATACACTGAAAACGATCTAGAAGCTAACAAGTGAGGAGAAAATACCAATCGAACCGCGAATCTTTTTACATCTCGGTCCCCCATATCATAATCAGCACTATTAGCAGTCATGCAGCTGCAGAAAATGATGTCATTTCACTACCATAAGCATAGTAAATTGCTGGATAAGAAAGCAAGAGTGCAAGTAAAGAAGCTTACATCCCAGGGAATGTAAGCTTAATGTTCCTACCCCCGGAACATTAAGTATATGAACATAGTTGGGCGCTACATCCGAGGAAGCCATCGGTTGGATTGAGCCAACGTCATTTGCAAACGTATTCCAACAACATCCCGGCACATCCAAGAATCCACGTGCGAAAAACATGTAGGCCCCATAAGAAAGCCCTAGAGATTCAATAACATCCAGCTCGATTGTTGCGGTTTACGACTCAAGCAGCCAGGTCAACACGTGCTCTTCTTGAATATTTCGCCAGCATGAGAAAGCCCTAGAGATTCAATAACATCCAGCTTGATTGTTGCCGTTTACGACTCAAGCACTCGCGCTCTTCTTGAATATTTCGCCAGCATGAATTCACGGTAGAAAACAGCACCTTTTTGATAGACGTCGGTTAGGCATGCGTAGAAGATGTCCCAAACCTAATCGTCATCATGCGCGCAATTTGAGTAGCACCACACTAGCTTTGAAAGTATTTTGACAGCATGGAATGATGCACCGACGGTCACGGTCGACCGCTGAACAAGCGGTGTGAGGTCATTATGGCCGAGGTTTTCTAATACATTCGTCCTCAGGAAAAAGTGGCATCGCTGCTCCCATAACTGTGAACATATCGGTCGCCTCTGGGAAACACCTTTATTTATTCACACTGCCATTGAGAATGACAGTACGAGTTTAATTTCAGACCACCTCGCAGCACGATTCCTCGTTGTAAGGGGTCTCGCTGCTATCGGTCTGAATGCTCCCTTTTGAATTTCCTGGTATGTGTATATATTGTGAAACGAAGTTCCAGGCAGTGTAGCCCGCGAAATCAAACTAGAGCCGAAACACCTTTATTTATTCACACTGCCATTGAGAATGACAGTACGAGTTTAATTTCAGACCACCTCGCAGCACGATTCCTCGTTGTAAGGGGTCTCGCTGCTATCGGTCTGAATGCTCCCTTTTGAATTTCCTGGTATGTGTATATATTGTGGAACGAAGTTCCAGGCAGTGTAGCCCGCGAAATCACTGCAACTAGAGCCCGATTACCATGTTAGAATCCTGACCAACACAGTCTCCTGGCCCTTCATGTTTGGGCTAGAAACATGTATACCTACTTGTCCCACAAAAATGGCAATTCCCCCCCCCCAAAATGCCGCCACGTTGCAGTCCTGCCTTTGGGCTAGATGTCCCAGGGGTTGGAGCGCGGGTTTACTGGCCGTAAGGTCCGTGGTTCGAAACTCTGCATCTAAACTTCTCTAGGCTTGGGTAACCTGGCAGTAGTCAAGCCCTCGTACTCCCTTCGGGTGGCATCGTAGCTAGGCACCGAAAGATTGTTACAGCTGAACGATTATTATTCAGACGTTTGAGCCAAAGGCTTTGGTCTACGTCTGGGCTCCGGCTACGAACCTCTGGGGCTGTGTTGGACACGAGATGCACAGAAAGAGAAAATCACCGATTACAAACCGTCCCCGTGCAGTTCCAGTTTCCAGAACGGCGGAAGCCGCCTGGCAACGTGGTCACACCAAAGAACCAGCCCCGAATACAAATGAACCACATTGCCATCAGTTACTGGTGACCAGGGCAGACCACTGCCATCTGCTCCTTCTGGAATACCAGCGTGGAAACCGAACATGCGCTTGCGCGCGGCTGCTTTTCATCACGCTTTTCAGGCCTGCACAAAACGCGCACATCTCGCTGAGCCAGTGAGAAACTAGTGGATCGGGAAATGAAGTGAAACTTTCAGAGCCGGCCCCTTGAACGCCTGCCCAACTGCTCGGATGGCAACGGCCACTGGAAACAGATATCTGAAGCCATACTCATAGCCGGGACTTTTGCTTGCGGTACAGTCCAGCCAGATGAAGGCTAAGCGCAAGCTCTGCCAAATAAATTGTTCACCATCATGCCATCTAGCGCCTTCACAGTGCAAAGTCATGCTTCGTAAATCTCTGAAGATACCCCCTACAACTGAAGGAGAATGACTGGAGGTTGTGGAGAACTGTACATACCTCAGTAGTTGTGTAAGCTGTGACGGTAGTGCGTCTGATGAAGTCAGTGCATGAATCCCAAAGACCCGAATCACGCCCGCTAATTTGCGTCAATTATGGCGTCAAGGCGGCACATCACTGGACCTCAGCAGTCGCGTGTACTAGGCTACAGTAAGGGCTTCGTTGTCTTATGGTTACGAAACACGGTCCCTGCGGACAGATGGTGTGAAGCGCCTTTAGGTTTTTGACCACTAATATCTCAGAAGCGTTTGTGATGTCGGATAGCGTTAACAAATTCGTAACCAGGTAATCAGGAAACTGGTGTTTGGTTGTACAACAGGCAATTGGGTAGCGCAAAACATCCAGCATCATCAAATGCGGTGGCTAGATCATGTGCTACGCACGTCGAAACACTGTCTACAGAGACAAGTGTTGTCCTCCGTACATACTTCAGAGGACACCAACGGCAGGGTGAACGGCGTACAACTAAGCAGAAGGGTGTAAAGACCAATTTTGGTGCGACACGCCTTCAAGGTTGGGGTCTCCGTGACTCCTCCTAGGCCTTGCTGAAGACACTGCAAGAAATGGCGGTAGTTGCGTTCGTGCTGCCTGGTCTGGTTCTTTCCGGATTGTCTGGATGATCGCCTGGAGGTGGAGGTGGTCCCAGAATGCATGTGGTCGCCAGCATCAGGTATTCTAAGGCTGGATTCTGGTGTCGTGCACAAATTTGATCACTTTTCAGCAACGAACAATGCCCCCCGGATGAGAGCATTAGAAGGGCATTACACAGTGAGCCTTGGTAAGTTTATCCAACTTGCGGAATGGTAATTTCGTTCCTTAGGGTTACCGGGAAAAAAATAGTGAAAACCTACATCAGAAGAGAGCATAATTTGAATCCATGAGCGCTTTAAAAAACCACCAGCAGTCAGGAACTAAACCTGGTCATAGGTTGCTGAGGGGCCCCATGGTTGGGTGATACAAAGGAGTCTAAACACATTGCTGAGGAAAAACCACCGATATGTACGGAAGTGCGATGGGAAGCGCCCCACTTAATCAGATAACCACTGATGGTCGCCTCGGGATGGTTCGTTTGGCAACATCTGTGAAAGAATTCGGAAGAAGTGAGATTCATTGCTCTCTGGTTGTTGTGCCTGACGGGCTGTAGCGCTGACTCCGCCACTACGGCGCTCAAAGTGTGCTTTAACAGCATACTACAAGCTCGGACGTTGTTGTGGGTGATGACATGAACGTTCAGCCAGGTAAACTAAGCGCAGCTGACGGCCAATTGAATGGTTAGACCAGAGACGTACGGACAGCATAGAGCACCTGTTGAGGAAGTGTGCCGATCACAGACTGTCTACTTGCACTACACGTTTCAAGAATACCGAAAATCACCCACCAAAGAGCCAGGCCCGGACTAAGAAAAAAGTCGCTCAACTGTAACACCCTTCCGGTGCCTAGCTGTCATGCCATCCAAGGGAAGCACGAGGGTTGGGATACTGCCAGGTTGCCCAAGCCTAGACAAGGGAAGTCAAGAGGTGGAGGTCAGGTTCGAACCACGGACCTTCCGGTCAGTAAACACTGAGCCATCTCGACCCTTGAGGATGCGTCCTATTCTGCCAGTCGGCCAGTGCTCTCAACAACAGAGGACGTTCCAGAAGCCCGTGAACGCAATCTGGTTGCCTCCAGGTTGGATAATATATCATGAGCTCTCTAAAAGCAACCGGAAAGGGTGTTCAGTTCAGCTTCATCATTGATGAAGTAATCAGGTGTACATTCGAAGGTCCTCAAAAACACGGCGTTCAAATCGCTGCTAATTTGCACTATGCAGACGAAATCATTCTCATCTTTGAAAACGAACAATAAGCATAAGCCCTGCTGAATTAAAACAGGCCATCAACATACGGTTTTACGGCATGCGCCGTGCATCGTACGTACGTACTTACGTACACACGTAGTTTTATTAGCCCACACGAAAGTGTGTTTTGAAGTCTCCATGAATCTAAGAGGTCCCAGTAACGTATCCCAATTTGAGCCGATTGTGGTGTCAAAAAGGTATATCACCAGGTCTCAAGGGTCGTGTATACCTGGCTGAAGTAACAGTTGTATTGTTGTACGGCTGCGAGACATGACCTCTGAGGACAAACAATGTGAAGCGCCTTTAGGTTTTGGATCGCCATTGTCACAGATGCGTCACTGGTGCCGGATGGCACCAAGGGTTTCGTAAAGAGGTCATTGGAAAAACGGCACTTGGTTGTGCAGTACTCTAGTCGCGGAACACATCTAGCACTATCAACTGAGGTGTCTCGGCCGTGTGCTAAACATGCCGAGATATTGTCTACTGAGACGACTTGCTCTCCGTGCCTCCTTGAGAACGGCTGAAACTGCGAGGTGGACAGCATGACATAGCAGAAAGGTATAAAAGAGAATACGAGGAGTTTAGGTGTTGTTAGTACGGTCTACCCTCTATGACCTTTCATGCCTTTCCACCCCATGACCTTTCCCCTTGAACTTATCCTTGTATTCCATGAAATGACGGCTGATCAAGGTTTGGGCAACCTTGTACTATCTCAGCCCTGTGCCTCACTTAGGATGATATAACGGCTAGGCACCGAAGAATCTTACAGCCCAACGATTATTATTTATGATAACTCAATGAATCCGAACAAAGTTAACATTTTACGTTAGAGGTGACTAGTATATCAACCACTGCCGGCTTTTAAGCGATTGGACAACTAGACAACAGGCGTTCGGTTGATTACGCGTATCCAGTCGAGTGAAGAATCTCCCAATCGTGAAGGCTACTCCATCAGAGCGACACACATCAGCAATTACAGGACCATCTGAAGTTCGCATTCGGTGGTGACGAAGCAGCGAAGAAACTGCAAGCAAAAGTACCATATTCGGACCCTGCGCTCGAGTTCCAGAACTGCAACAAGTCTTTCCAGTGAGTGTAAGAGCGGATTTTGGTCCATTTTCTCCAGAGTTCGCAGAGTAATTGATGCGAAAAAGATGGGAGAACGGGTTTGGGGCGGCGGAGTCAAAAATAGGGGACATTAGATTCCAGCTGCTGAACGAGATTCAATAAGATGACACCGAATGTCAACAAAAGATCAACCTAAAGCAAGACCGCGACTACCGATCATAAACATTCCGTGAATTTCGACAACTGTAAGCATGCGCACGCCCCCAATGTTCAAGGGAAATTTAAAAATAAACTCACTAGTCGAAAGCCGAAAAAGCAGCTGTTGATTATTTTCGCCCTTGATAACTACATCCACCATTACATCGACATGCCGGTCACTAATCGCCGCCCAGTCAAGCTTGCCCACGCAAGTGTGGCAACGAATAGTATACATTCATTCTCGTTGACTTATCACAGTGAACCATCACCATCGACAGAGAGACATCAGTGTTCAACACCGATGTTTCACTGCCATACAACCATCATTTATTTGGAAGACCTATTGTAAAGAAAAGAATGAGGGTGGACGGGTAAGCGACTTAGTGCTAGCTTACCACAATCATTCCGAGGTGCCTCCACTCCAGACATTCGCTCAGGCAATCTGGATAGAAACTAACAACAAGAACGCCACAGACACCGGTTGGCAGCCATATCTTGTAGTGTCTCCAACCAGGCAGTGAGGATCACGCGGTCCCCATCCTGGAAGGTGAGTAGCACCGACAG